CCAGGCCCTGCCAGAAGAAGCCCAGCTCCGGGTCCTCCTTTCCCTTCCTCCCACTCAGCTCCTTGCAATAAAAAACCAGACGTGTCAGTCGCGCAGTTGAGCTGTTTTCTGCTCCTGGAGCTGCCCTGCCATGGAGCAGAGGAGTGCGGGGACGCACAGCCCCCCCCCGCCTTGAAACATAACCTTGGGAAAGGAGAAGCAGCATCAGCCCCTGGTCCACAGCCCCCATTGTCTGGTGGCTGCTCCTGCCTGTATAAGCTTTGCCTTCTGCCTAACCCTCCCTAAGAAAAAAGGAAAAAAAAACCCCACATTTTGGAAGCTCTCCCTGCTTCTCCAGCAGAAATCAAAGCAGCCAGCTGGTGAGGTTTGACTTCTGACTGCAACTGAGCCCCGCAGAACCGCTGACACGCCGAACAAGGGATCTGTATACACTCCTTTTTCGCAACAAGAAAAGCAAATGCCAGCTCGATACGAAGCTCAAAGCCTGTGGCACTGGAATAAATTACAGATAGAGCTGAATGGCATTTGGGGAAAAAAAAGAGCCCTGAAACTATTAAACTATTAGGTATCAATGAGACATTTGTCTTTTTTTTTTTTTTTTTTTGGGGGGGGGGGGGGAAGAGGGGGAAGAGGGTCAGTGGGGGGAGGGAATTATGTACAGTCTTGTGAAAAGGTACCTCGGAGCCGGGGAAATGGTGCGAAGGAGGGAATTTTAGACGGGATCAATAAAGGGATAAATAGAGCTCCCTTCCTTTTCCTCCAGCAGAGAGAGACCGAGAGGGAGACGCTGGTTTATCAGCAACGTGCTTTTACCCCCCCCCCCCCCCTTTTCTCTTTCTCCCTCGGTCTGATTCTGAGCTGAAAACTGATTACAGGTTGCTTATCGACTCCAGCACAATTTCACCCCTTCCAGCATAGATCTTGGAGGGGTTTATATCGCATCAATTATTTATCATATTTTATAAATCCAGCAGCTCTACAGCTTTTTGCCCCCGAGGAGGGCGCGGGCGGCGATTGGCGCCGCCGGAGCCACGTGCCCGCGCGTCACCGGGCCGGGAGGAAAAAGGCTCCTTTTGGTGTAAATCTGGACTCTAATTCCGTAATATATCACGGTACCTCGTAAAACCGACACTAAAACGTCCCGACCTACAAATCACCCGGCCAAATTATGAGTTCATTGTATTATGCGAATGCTTTATTTTCTAAATATCAAGCCGCAAGTTCGGTTTTCCCATCCGGAGTCTTTCCCGAGCAAACTTCTTGCGCTTTCGCCTCCAACACCCAGCGAACGGGCTATGGGGCCGGATCCACGCCTCCCTTCGCCGCCTCCATGCCCGGGCTGTACTCCAGCGGCAGCGCCGTGCACCCCCAGCCCCCCAGCATGTATTCCTCCGGTTACGGCCTGGAGCCCGGCTCCTTCAACATGCACTGTTCCCCTTTCGAGCAAAACCTCTCCATGATGTGCCCGGGAGATGCCTCCAAGCAGAACTGCAGCAAAACGGACCAAAGGGACTCAGATTTGCAAAGCGACAGTAACTTCCGCATCTACCCCTGGATGAGGAGCACAGGTAAGCCCCAGCCCCCCTAAAGAAAGGAGCCCGGGGGGAAGGGGGGAGTGTAAAATATTTGATGGAGTGCGGAGGGGGGGGGGTGGGGGTGGAGGAGGGGGAGGGGGGAATTGTCCCCAACTCCTTTCATGACGTTTCACTGAAAATGCATCTTCAAAAGAGAGAGGGGGAGAGCGACCACCCCACCCCACCCCCCCTCGTGCCATAAAGCCATCCTTTTAGCTTTAAATATTTATTGGTGTTGCTGGGGCTGTGTATGTGCCATGCAAAAGGCAGTTTGTCTTAGAGGGGACAGGCAGAGCTGCAGAAATAATGGCCAGCCCCTTCTTCTCTATTTACAGGATAGAGATGGTGATACCCCCATGTAGGTGTAGATCCTGAAAGAAATTATTTATGGGAGGCGCTTGCAAGCTTGTTTTGTTTTCTGTTAGTCTGCAAAACCTTCATTTGCCAGTCCCTCCCCTCACTCCCCCAGCCACAATATCCCGGACGCCGCAATTAACCGTAGCGTGTTTCCATCGGGAACAGCAGCACATCATTCCCGGTGCGATTAAAAAGCCCCGCTCTCAAAACAGTGACACTCCGGTCGGAATCCGGATGGAGGGAGGGATGGGTGGGTGGATGGATGGATGGGTGGATGGATGGATGGATGGATGGATGGATGGATGGATGGAGGGATGGATGGATGGACGCATGGATATAGTGGAGAGAGCATGTTTAGCTATGTCACACCCTGAAAAAATTCATTGCGGAGGGGTGCGGTGCAAAGGTTCCGTGGGGACCGCGGGGTGCTTGGTGTGGCCCTGCCGGTGAGCAGAGCAGCGCAGCCCCGCGGAAGGTCGCGCAGCGCTCCGCGAGAGCGGAGAGGGGGAGGCCCCACGCAGGGACACGATGCCCCACGCACACGCTGTGTCTCGGAGCCGCTGCCCTCGGTCCCCAGAGCGCTCCGTCCCAGGGTATTAATGTCAATTAATGTTTAATAAATATCCATTTCCCTCGAACGGGAGCGGCACCGGCTCTCCCTGTTTCCCTCCTCGGTCTCTGCTTTGGTCTCCCCGAGTTCCCCCTTGACGGTGACCCCCCCTCTCGGAGCAGCCCGGCTTCTGTCCTTGTGCACGCGTGATGATGTTTACAAGAGTGCAGTCCCAAGCGGGGGGATGTGGAAGGCGCTGCTGTCCCAGCTGGGAGCAGATGGGAAGGCGAGAGCCTAATCTTCAGCCGTCCCGGCCTCGTCTCTGCCCTGCCAGACTCGTTCGGAACGGGTCTTAGTGACCCTGGGCTGAGGGGTTGTGGGCCAGGCTCCCCGCGAAGGCCAGGGAAAAGAAAACATCGAAGCAGCCAATGTACAGAAGCTTATAAAGGCAGGAGTTACCCTCACACTTATTTGGTGGTCAGTTCTTTCCATTACCTGCTCCATAATTCATGCAGTTTTACAGTGGGTTTATCAAAGACCAAATATTTCTGGTCATAAACACTTCATCTCTGCTTTTATCTGGCTTTAGATTTAAGAAGCCCCCCCCTTCTTCACCCCCGTTTAGTCTGTGACGCTGCGAGGGTCAACACTGGAGAGGAAACAGGGTAAACGTGGGGTCCTGCACTCAAAAAACCCGGGATACTCTGGGATCTGCTGAGCCTAAAAGCAGAGAAACTCGACCTCGGTCGTAAAAGAGGGGTCGTCGTCCCCCCCCGCTCCCGTGCCTCATGCCCACTGTGCGATCGCGCTTGTGGAATTTCATCAGCGAGCAGAGATAGAGTTGTCATCCCTATTCAGCAGCAGTTTATGGCTCTCCCCTCAGCGGATTTTACAACCCACATTCCACGACCTGCACAGTTTTACTTTACAGCTAGCCTGGCTATTTTGCCTTTTTTTTTATCCCTCTCCTTTTAATGACTGGATCTTTTCTTCTTTTAAAAAGAAAGAGGGGTGGGAAAAAAAGAACAAAAAAAGAAGGGAAGAAGAAGAGGAGTCCAGTGGAATGTGTGGAGATGAGGCCGGGAGCTGCTGTTCGCCATCACCTCTGCTCGGGGAAGGAATATGTTATACTAGAGAGATATGTAGCATTTGCATATAACATAGAGTCGGGATCACAAACACCATATTGTAGAACTATTTCCAATCAGGCTGCAGGAAATGTCTGGTGGAAGGGAGAATTAGGAGCTGGGCCCTTTCCAAGCCCTGCTGCAGGCAGCTGGGGGTGAGAGGAAGAGTGGGGGGAGTGTTGAGGCTCTTCTCATCCATGTACCCCCCCTGCAAGAGGGGTAGCAGCTCCCCTGCCAGCCCCAGAAGTCACTGCCTGGCCTAAAACATCCCCTGAAATAATTAAGATCATCACACACCTTCCAAGCAGGCACCCTGATGACAGCTTTAAGAGAGGACAAATAGTTGGATTTGTGTAGGTAGCAGATGCGTCTGTGGCTCTGCTCGGCTGCGGTTCCATATTTATTCCCCAACCAGCCAAAATCGGTGGTGTTTAAATGAAAATTAAAGCAGGAGCTGAGTGTTTGCGCCGTGCTGCGAGGGCAGGAAACTTTCTGAAGTTTGCTGTTCGTTCGGAGACACGCCAAAAAAAAAACCACGGCTCGCTTTTCCGAGATGAAGGGAAATTAAAGCTGGGGTGGTTTGGGGCCTGAGAACGTGGAGGGGAAAGCCTCGAGCAGAAGGAATCGGTCTTGTAAATTCAAAGAAGGGATGTCGCAGGTTGCACAGTTCCTCCGAGGGCTCTGTCCTTCCATGGGGCCCAAAGGCAGCAGTGAGAGAGCAACTAGACCATAAGCCCACAAAACATCTCTCCCAGCCGCCCCATCTGATCCGAATCTCCATTTATTTCGCAGGCACCGACAGAAAACGAGGCCGCCAGACCTATACCAGGTATCAGACCCTGGAGCTGGAGAAGGAATTCCACTACAACCGGTACCTGACGAGGAGGAGACGCATCGAGATCGCCCATGCTCTGTGTCTCACCGAGAGACAGATCAAAATCTGGTTCCAGAACAGGCGCATGAAGTGGAAAAAGGAAAATAAAACTGCCTGCTCCGGCTCCAACAGCCAGGAAAAACCAGATGCGGAGGATGATGAGGAAGAGTGAAAAGGGGCAAGAGATGGAGGCAGGAAATGTGGAAACCCACGCGAGAAGGAAAGAGGGGGAAAACACATAGAAAAAAAAAGACTATATATTAAAATAGATAAATGATAAGTCCATAAGTAATTAAAAACCCTAGGAATGATACTTTGTGTTTCATGACACTGAAAAAAATACTACCTATATTAAAGTCTTTTTTTTTTTTTTTGTACAATAGAATGATGATCTACCTATTCCTGTGGCTTTAGAGTCAGAATAGACACACTTTTCTATGTGAGTCTTCCTATAGTCCAAGTAATTGGTAAAGCTCCGTTTGTACTTCGCTGTGTATTTTCGGTATGAAGTAACGTGGTCGTGTTTAGCACCTTTAATTTAGAAAACGTGATCTGAAAAGTCTGAATGCAAATTCTGCTTAGCATATAGAGTCCTGTACATAATGGGAATGATGGTTACTCCTTCTCCCTGCAACCTCCGCGGTTCTTTTCTCCCTGCTATGCTCTTTCCTCTGTGTATATTTTTACCTGGATTTCTTCGTTGTTCAAGTCTCTACGAAAACAAAAAACACAAAAGATTAATTAATATTGTGCTACCTAAGATGTTGTATATCAAAGTAGCAAATTATTTAATGGCGACGCGTTGCTTTTTTTTTTTTACCCTTGTCTGTGATTATTATTATTCGAAATAAAAAGGAAATCTCCAATAATCCACAACCGCGTTAGGTTCCTACTTGGTTTCTTCTTTAAAATAACATACGGGCTTTTAGAATTGCTTTTTCCCATCTCAAATAAATGTACTAAAAGAACCTTTCAGATTAATGCATGCCCCGATCTATCATCCTAAACTTCTCTCGTATTTTAGGACAGTCACTCCTTGGAAAATTGTAGTACCTTTCCAATAGATTTGGAGAATACAGTAATGTAAAATTGACATTCGGGGCTCTAAAGGTGGATTGGTCTCCCTTCTGCCCCTGTGACTGCGCTGGCGCTGTGACTGAAGAAGACAAGGCATAAAAGACGAACGTAAAGAAGCCAGAATCACCCCAAATGGTCTTTCCGCTCCTGGTTTTAATTTTCTTCTTCTCGTAACTAATTTGCAGAAACTCTATCTATTTCGCCGTGCCTTTAGGATTTTATTTTGTCTCGGTTCTCCCTCCGCCCTTCAATTACTTTCCTGCGGACTGGAACTCTTTCATCAGCCCCAAATAGTGTTTAGCATCAAAGCGCGCATAAAAGAAATTAAAGCAATTAAAGGCAGGAAAAATCAACAATGCAAAACAAAAGGAGAGTAAACCTAAGCACTTGCGCAGGGGCGCATCCTCCGCCTCCCTTTCCCCCTCCCGCCTCTTTATTTACATTGCCAGTAAAGCTGCGGATTCCTCCCTCGGATTGCGCAAGATGCACAAGGGGAAAAACCTATCGCAGCCCATGGTGGAAGCAGCCAGCGGGGCCTTTTTGCACCTTCTCCATGTCCCCCCCCGCCCCATCTTCCACCACCCACAACCACCGATGCTCCATGCCCAAAGTGAAGGCGCGCAGCGCATCCTTTAGCAGGTTTTACCCCAAATAAGACGCCACGTCAAGCATCTGCGCGCCCACGTCTCCAGCACAGACTCCCAGTCTACGCGGGATGTACTAATTATGGGAAGCCCGTCATTAAGGGGAGCAGCTATTACGGGGTTTGCACGCTGAAAAGGAAGGGAAAATAGAGGGAAATTTCCGTTTTTCCTTGGTGAAACCCCTTGGTGCAATCCCTCTTCGGGAGCGCTCTGTGCAGAGCGGGGATAGGGAAGGGAAAGAAAAATAAAAAAAAAAAAAAAGGAAAAAAAGGGAAGAAAAGGGAAAAAAAGGAGAAGCAGTACCAGATATTCCCCCTCCCTCTCCCCCCCCCCCCCGGTTCCCGGACTGCAGTGGCCCCCCCTGACACCGACCTCTGAGCGGGATGGGGGGGCGAGTAGGAACTGGGGAGAATTCCATGAAAATAAGGCAAAGGGAGTCGCAGTTCCATGTGCAGGGGGTTCCCGCGGGGTGACCCACCTTACCGGAGCACACTGACGCACCCTGCTATAACAGGGGCTGCGGGGGGCCTCGGAAGGGGTTCCGGGGGCTCTTTGGGGGTGTCTGGCCCGACCCCCCCAGCCGAAGGCCACGCTTTCATTGCCTCTATTTGCCTCCCTTCCCCCCCTCCAAATTCTGATAATTGCCCCTTTCAGCAGAAACGATCCCAATCGCATCAAGAAAAAAAGGAAGAAAGCAAAAAAAAAAGCCATCCAAATCCCAGCGAACCCCACTGTTTTACTGCGCCTTTCCCCATGTAAAAACCAACGCCAGCCTCAAGCCCTTTATTCTGGGGGGGGCTCTCATTGTTCCTAGCCTAAAGTGTGAAGAGCATTTCGATTATTGCCCTCCACATCCCCCCCCCATGCAAACAAAAGGGGGGGGTTGGAAATCCCTGAACCCCCTTTTATATTCTTTTATTTTTGTTTAAAAGAAAAAAGATGGCGGCTAAGAAAAAGGCTGCTGTTAAACCGGTCATGAAGAAATGCAATAAATTCCTTGTTGTTTTATGAAAATTTACAACTTTGTGATAGAACTTTATGAGTGGCTGGGTTCTGGGATTGGCCAGAGCCGGTCATGTGGACTGCTAACCGTGAACATGAACTTTTTATTATTTCCCATGTGGTTATATTGCACCATTCTTCTGTCCGCTGCACCTTGGGTCGGATCAGTGTCCTCTATAGGGCTCTCGCCTCTTTATATTTTTTTACTTTTGTGTATAAGCTCGATAGGGCTAAAAGAGGGGAGCGGGGAGGGGGGAGCAGCCCTGCACACACCCGCACGCACCCCCAGGCACCCATCTCCGCACGCACGTAGGAAAAGAGTTGTAGGATTTTTGGTTATTCATTTTATTTTGATTTTTTTATTATTATTATTATTATTTTTTAATTCCTCTCTTAATTTGCTGCTGATCTGGAATCTCGGTAGCCATGGAGGGGCAGAGGAGGTTCTGGACCGAGTGGAGGCTATCATTTTTCAAAGAGGGAAGTTGCTCCATTTTCTATGCAAATGACAGAAATGCAAGAAGCTCTCACAAGTCAGAGAGGCGACCGACGGCTCTCAGGTTGGGACAATATTTGTCAGCTAACAGATAAGCAAACGCTGTCTCCCTCTCCCTCCCTATTTTACTTATGCCACAGAAATGGACGTCAAAAGGTAAGGGAATAATACGCTTCTCTTCGTTTAATATTTTCTTTGAGAAAATGCATTTGTCAAGCTGCCTTTTCTATTCCATTCCACATATTCTCTGTCCAGGGGTGGGGGAGAAAGAAAAGGGTGGGGTGATGAAGAAGGGAGGCACTTTAAGAAATCAGGGATGGTGGAAATCTGTGTGACAATTTTCCTTGAAAAGCGTAGTGTAAAGGTGAAAGAAAAGGAGAGAGAAAAAGGGATGGGGAAAAGGTAGAGACATTGGGAGAATGAAGGGAAGAAATAGAGGAAGAAAATAGAAAGAAATAAGGGGGGGGGGAGAGAGATTGAGAAAGAAACAGAGGATTAAAATAAGAAAGGAAACAAGGAAGAAAAGAACAAATAAAACAACGGAATAAGAAGGAAAAATAAAGCCTTTAAGGTCACCTGGAGATAGTAGACTTGGAGTGAAGGATTTTGCAGGAGCTTGGTGGTGGAGGCTTTTAGATACTGCCTTTAAAAAAATACCAAACCCTTTGCGGGTCGTTCTGGTGGTTTATTTTTTCTCCCCTCGCAGAAGCTTTTGCCACTTCGCCTGTTCCTCAGGCGAGCCCCGTCATTTGGCGAAGTTTGTGTGGAAGCCAGTTGGGTTTTGCGTTGCTCTCCAGGGTCATTATTATGTGGGTGGTTTCTTCGGAGAGGGCAGCTCGCGGCGGCCTCGAAAATAAGGCTCTGGAAATTAGTTAAAAAGAAAACAAATAAGAAAAAAAAAAGAAAGGAAAAAAAAAAGGAAGAAAGGGAAAAAATAAAGGGAAAAAAAAAAAGGTAATAAGAATGAAGCCAACCCCGAGCGCAGCGCTCTCATTGTATTTCCACACACCCCCCCTTGTGAAACTCCCAAATGAAGCTGACGTTGCGATGCAATAAACCTCCATGTATTTAATTGCGTTCCGCGGTGTTAATGGGGTTTTACGGCTTTCCCGGCCGGAATACTGGCTCGGGTCTGAGCCCCACGGCGTGGCGGTGCTTTTCCATACCCGGTAATGCGCAAATCTCCCCTCACTCTGTGATACCCTAACGCTTATCTTAGGGTTTTGGAAAAGGTTTTTCTGGGATACCTGTGATTTTAAATGTGGAGGGTTTCATCTTCTTGTTTTTGCAAGATTTCATGGGGGATTGAATTATTGTACTAATTGCTACTGTTACGAGGTGATTTTTAAATAAGATAATGTAAGAGCCTGCGGAACTGAAGCGAGATTGAGTAAGGAGAGATTCATTACTTAAGCATAAACCATTTTATGACGTGACGATTTATCTCGCCCTAAACTGTCTGTGCTTGAATATTGTGTGGACAAGAGTAAATGATCACAAGCCGCGGAAATAATAAACAGAAAGTCATTTTTAAAAGCTATTTCTTCCCGAACCTGTTACATTTTTCATAAATCACGGGGAAAAAAATGAATACCGGTTAAAGTGCCTGTTCTCCCTTTCCCTAAGCCTCCTCACGTTCGTTGTTTGGGGTTGTTTCTTTCGCTATTTGTAAGAAAAAATATATTCAAAAATCATTTAATTTAGGAAGCTTGCTCCAAAACGCTTTTATACCTATTTTTTCCCTATCCTGCGGGGTCAACCACTTGTGGAAATCCCGCATCTCACTGCGGGCAGGTCTTTTTTAACCATTTCAACACGGGATGAACGAGAAATGCTTGTGCCCCCCCCCCCCCCCCCCCCCCCGGGGTGGAGGGATGGGGGGTGTCCGCGCTTCTCCCGGCCGGGTCCCCTCCTGGAATTCTCCCCTGCTTATTTATTGAGGAAGATAAAATGCAGCGGTAGAGGGGAGCCCCCCCCGCCGATCCCTCCCCCGGTGCTGCCGCCGGGGCTCGCCCATTCCCCGCCGTCTGCTGCCATCTACTGTCGGCGGCGGCGGCCGGCGGCTCCCGGGGGGCTCCCGCAGCCGGTGTCCCGGCGGGGGGGGGGGCTTGTCCTGGCTGCATTCCCGTCACCCCGGGACCGCAGCCTCCGGTCCCACTCCTGGACTCGCTTCTCCTCCACGGTGCCCGGTTCCGCACCGAGCGCGGATTCTCAGTTCCGCGTAGGGCCCAGAGGCGCTGGGCATGAGCCATAGGTCGCCCCCGCTCATGTGCACTCGCATGTGAGCCACGAGCATCCCAACACGCGTGTGGATCCGTACAGCCCCCAACCTCTGCTGGTGCGCGTGTGAAGCCGTGTCACGCGTGTGCAAACACATGTGTGCTCACACATGTGCGGCCCCTCCTGTGGCCGCATGCACACGAGTGGGAAAGGCGGGTGGCCGAGCGTGAAACACGGCTGCGAGGCTGGTTTAAAACGGGGTTTTTGGCTAATCCTAAAAGGAGCGTTTATTATTTCTCGCTCCCAGTGGTCACCCCGAGGGGTCTGTCAGGAGCACGGCCTGGGGGTGGCTGCTGGGTCCAAGGAGTCACCTTTGGGCTCCCGTGGGGGCTGAAGGGACAATGCCTGCCTGTTATGTTCAAAGGTTTCTCGTTGTCTCCGTTCCTCCCGCTCTCTTTCTCCCTCTCGTTTTCTCCTCCTGCCACACAGTTTCCTGGCAACTGTTTATGTCCAGACGAGAGACATTTTCTCCAAGAAAGTGAGATGCCAGGGACTATGGTAAAGAAGAGAGCAAAAAGGAAAGGGGGGGGGGGGGGGTGGCGGGGTGAAGTTTCTCTCTTCTGACCAGCAACAAACACGATTAACTTGTTCCATGCTGCAACTCCCAGCACCCCCCGGCATTCGCTTTCCACATTACACGATCCATCTCACTTTTTCCTCTGCTTTTCCCTGCTTTCCTAATGTTCCACCTCGGCTTACTACTTCCCAGAACTTGCTGTGGCAGAAATGCTTGGGTTGGATGTGGTTTGAGTCCCCCAGTGCCCCTCTCCTCCGCTTCAGTCCCGACCCCCCCACTGCCCCCTTTTTTTTTGTTGTTGTTAATAATTAGCTGCACTCTATAATGGAACAATGGCAGATTATTATTGCTTCTTTTCAAAGATGCCATTAACCAGGTTATTATGCACTGCACGGGAAGTCAGGTAAATTAAACTTAAATTGCTGGAAATTAAGTTTCAGGCGGTTATGTGCGGGAAAAGCGGGTATTTTATATTTTTTTTACACCTTCAGGGTCATTGTTTTAACTGCTCCAGCCCTGGAGTTCTGCATGGCTCTGTCGGGGCTTTTTTCCGATGTGTTTTGGGGTGTACGTGAGCATTACAAGAGAGGTTTCTCTGCTGCCAATAGCTTTCTATGTCTGACTCCAGGAACAAGGGGGGTTTTCAAGTGTTTTCGTGGTGTTGGCTTGACTTTATGGCTGCAATAAGTCCCTCGGTAGGGAAACCCCGCTGTGTTCTCACTTCAGAAGGATCGGGAATTCCAGCTCCACATGAAAAAAAAGCGAGTTTCATTTTTTATTGGAACCAACTGCACTGAACTTTCTACCAAGCTCCTGCCGGGTTGAGCTTTCACACAAGCAACGCTCTGTTCTGTTTGCATGTTGAAATATTTGGGTGTTGTTTTAATCCTCTCATCTATCTGCCTGGCTCTGCCTGGTGGGATTGGCGTTCTCTCTGGCCAGAAAAGCAAAGCGACAAAAAGCGAGACCTTCTTGGGCAGAGAGCTGGGGTTGTACATACTGTAAATACTTCTCTTTATCTTTATTTATGCCCTGCCAGATGAGTGATGTCTGTCAGGAGGGGAAAGCCGGCTTCCCAGCGCAGTTAAGTGTGTTATACCACCTTCTGGTGCCTCTCACAACTTCCCCGCTTTATTGCTCCTTCTTAGCAAAACCCCTGTGCTGGTTTTTGAGGAGATGAGGCCAGAGACTGAATAAAACCGTGCCCACCGGTGCCCCCCCAAGACGGGTCTAACTTCAGGGCTGCTGTGCAAGCTCCTTTCTGCAGCCGCTGCTGCTCCGTGTCTGCCTACCCCAACCGCCCCCCCCCCTCGTGCTGGCTCTGGAGGCGTCCAAAGCAAATAGATTTGCAAATTCGGGTTGGGAATTACCTTCGGACTTGAGCGGGGACGGCGGGAGAGCGTCTGCTCAACAGCTACACCAACAACGCAACGTTTTAGAGGTTCAAACTCCATTTTTTATAAGCTATTGAATTGGGAATAGGAATCCACCTCTGCTCTGAGCACTCAATTCGCTGAGATTTAGTGCGGTTTAAGACCTCTACTCGTATTTAACATGTATTAGAGGTGGCAAATCAATTAGACCGCGGGCCTGACCCTCAGGAACATTCAAACTATGACAGGTTTTGGGTTTGATTTCTGTTTTGTTTTGGGTGATTTGGTTGGTTTGTTGGTGGGTTTGTTTTGTTTTTTTTTTTTTTTGACGTTGAGAACCAAGTTTTCTTCTTTCCTTTTCCTTCCCCAAATAGCCCTCTTTAGAGCCATCCTTCTCAGAGGCAGGACTTGTTCTTTTCTATCTATAGCGCATCGAAGGTGTCAGCAAGAAGGAATTAGCAAGCGGCCAGCTTTAATTAGTGCATTTTAAAATGTCGACTGACAAACTACATAAAAAGCCCGTTTCAGCCACAAGGCCACTCGGATGAGCAGGATTGGGACCTGGGGGTGTGAGAGGGTTTGGTTTTTCTTCCCCAACCCCCCTGTTTCCAGGGATGTATTTGCAGAGCGATGCCGAGAAGTAAGAGAAAATATGCTAGCAAACATTTTCAACAGATGTACTCACGCACTGGATTATCAGCACATCCCATTACTTAGCCCCAAATTTGCATGCAGAGCTGATGATGCCAGATCATCACTAGGTTTCAGAGCTACAAATGTTGCGTAACTCTCTAATCAAATGTTGGAGCTGCTCGGCTCCTGCATAGCAGTTAACTTCGGGCTCTCATCCCAGCCTTTTCCCCCTCTTCTCTAGTCATCGTTCCCTTTCAATCTCACTTTTTGTTTGTCTTGCATACCAATAAAGCAGATCTACGTAAGTTTGGGTCCATTCCATACACAAAGGGAAACTCTGAAAGAACAAATATAAGAGATATCAGTCAAAGGGGGTGGAGGATGGAAAACTGTTTCCTTTGCATGTTATTTCCTTGAATTATAAGGATTACGTTTCAGTCGAAATGTTCATTGTAGCTGTGGCATGAAACAATCTTGGCTTTGCTGCTGTAAACATGATGTTTAAAATAAATCAGCTCGTAATAAGATACCACTTCGGTAGATACTTGGAGCTCCGTCAGTGAGAGCCGCATTGGCAGCTCTGCAGACACCATGTAATATATGTAATTCTAGATTTGGAGCGCACACATTCACACATTCAAGTACAGGGGAGTGTGTATTATAAGGCGGGTCATTTCACGGCATGTAAGACTCAAAGACAGATGGCTACAAATTCGGACAGGAAACGAATCCTTGATAAAAGGCGAATGATCGGAATACAGTCCTGGCTTTAATTTAGGTGGCGTTTGGTGATATTTTTGATTATTTTTTATCTTTTCCTGTGAGATGGCTCTGATTTTCCCGTGTGAACAGAGGGAAGGCGGAGATCAGAGATCCAAGTCTACCTTGAGCAAACAGGGATCTGAAGGGGGGATGCACCAGGTAGAGCAAAGCACATCTCTGTCGAGGAAAACCGAGAGAGGCACAGCCCAGAGCAAAGGGCAGCTTTTAGGGCGAACGGGAATTGCTTGAGATTTTGTGAATTGTCCTTTCCAGCTTTTTAACTTTGCGAAATAGAAAAGGCTGCTTTTTGCGACGGGAATGAGCTCAAAGGGGGCTGCAAACCCGCGGGTTCTGTGCGCACCTCCGAGGCAGCAGCCCCACCGCACCGCCAGCTTTGCTCTCCTTAAACCCCCCATCTCGATCGGGAACGATCAATAAACTCAGCTTTGGACCGTAACCCAGGGCTGCCTCTTAGCCATAAAAGGTCGGGCATAGATTTGGTATTAACAAAAAAACGCAAGAGGGCACAATGCGGTGCCGGACTCCGGAGGGGATAGGGATTTAACGAGGGATAAAGGAAATACTTCGATTTTCCATTTATCTCTCGCGTACGGAGCTTTTGCAGAAAAACAAAGGTAAAAAATGCAATATATGAAAAAGGGAAGGTCTGCTTCAAGCGAGAGCGGATTTCCTTGGACGGGGAGTGCTAATCCCTGGTAATTAGACATACAGGAACCGAAATAAGTTGTCAAACCCGATTTCTTCTCCTATAGCAAACCTAAGTTAAACAGCCCGGTGAGATCTCCTCGCAAAGTTCACACACACGCACAAAAAAACTTTTTTTCCTCCCCTTTTTTTTCCTTCTTCCTTCTTTTCTGTAACTGTAGTGAAGTACGCAGCCATGTCAGGACGATTTGCAAACACTTAGGGGTTAAAGTGTTCCGAATGCGAATAACTGACTTCCCCCCCCCCCACTTGCAGCGAGTATTTGTGTCTGTTCTGTGTGTGTAAATACATGTAGGCGCACAGACCGCCATCCGTGCGACGAGCTCTCGCACACCCCCGCGCAGAGCTCCGGGGGAGCGGGGGGGAGATGGGGGGGGGGACGGACACGTTTATTTATTTATGGAGCTCGGAGCTCGCCGGGAATGTTTCTTTCGGCAGATATTATATATTTGGTTAAGGGGGTGCTTTTCTGTTGTTTAAAAGGCAGGGAAAAAGGGGTGGATGGTTTGTTCTTGGGGTCCCTGGTGCAATCTCAGCTCCTCATGGGTGCTATTTTGCAACCTCAGGCGCCTGCTATTGGTCAGCCCCTGATCAGATGGTTGTATTTCCTTGTGTCCCTCGCTGGCACCACGCCATCTCCCTTCAGCTAAAACCCAATCTCCGATATACTACTAATAGCTAAACCACTTGGACTATAAAACACAACAAATCATAAAGCCGGGAAAGGACGGCAGCCTTCTTCCAATGAGTTCTTATTTTGTCAACTCGACCTTCCCGGTGAGTCTGGCGGCGGGGCAGGAGCCCTTCCTGGGACAGATCCCGCTGTATCCCTCGGGCTACGCGGACCCTCTGAGGCACTACCCCACCACCTATGGAGCCGCGGGCGTTCAGGAGAAGGGCTACACCTCCTCCCCTTACTACCAGCAGAGCAACGGAGCCTACAGCCGCGGCTCCGCCTGTGACTACGGGGCTGGAGGGTTCTTCAGGGAGAAGGACCCCGCCTGTGCCCCCCCGGCGCTGGACGAGGCGCCCCTCGGCCCCGAGCCGCGCACGGCGGACTGCGCGCACGGCAAAGCCGCCTTCGGAGAGAGCGAGGAGCCAAAATGTTCCGCCCCGGTTTACCCTTGGATGCAGCGGATGAACTCTTGCAATAGTGAGTTTACTCTTTTACAGAAATAAATACATCAATCTCCTCCCCCCCTTTCTTATTTGTTACCGCCAGGGAGAGAGAGAGAGCGCGCGAGGGAAGCAGGAATAAGCTTCACTTTGGAGCCCAAACTTCCAGCGGGGAAGTTAGGCGGCACGAGACGCTCCAACTTGCTCCTGACACGCACCAAAACTTCCCAACGCTCAAGTATTCCCCCCCCCCCCAGAACTTCCCTCCATACACACTTAAAAAGTTTGCCCCCCCCATTTAAACCCCAATGTTGTATTTCCCCAACACCCCCCGCTTTCTGATTTCCCCCCACATTCCACTTCGCGTGTCACTCAGCTACAGCGATTTGTCTCTGTCTTTCCTCCACACGCACAGGGAGATATCTTTTCTAAATCAGATCTGGATGACTTTACACACACACACACGGACCCACACCCCCACGCAGCTCCCTTTCTCGCTGGCTGCCCGATCTGGACTTAAATCATATCAAAGTGTTTAAATATTTGAAAGGAGAGGGCTACATTTTTAATGAAACTCACACATAATGAAAAGTCTGCCTGGGGAGAATTTTTTTTTCCACCCCCTGGTGATATATGACTTCTTTAAGTGCTGTTTCCTCAATCAGGAAAAAAAAAAAAAAAAAGAAGGGGGGGATAATAAAGCCTCACCACCCTCCTTCCCATGTTTAGATGCATTTGTTGCCTTTTAAGTTCCAAATTGACGTCCATTAGCGCAGGGACATAAAGTGTTGTGTCCTCTTTAATGCAGAGTTTGGGCAGATCGATTCACTTCATTATTGCTTAAATGCTCCGATCTATTACAGTTGCCGGTAGGGTGGAAAACAGCGCGGGCGGGCGGGGGGAGAGAACACCTTGCGATTTTTCATCCCGGAATCAGATAGATCTTGCCCTGTCTCCCCAGCCCTGCCTGCAGCCGGGCCAGTGCAGCACGATCCCTGCCTACAGCTCGGCTGCGGATCCTCCGCGGGTGCGGCCCGGCCAGGGGAGCTCCCTTGCGCGCACGGATGGGGTCACCGGCCCATGGGGTGATTTTGGGGTTGGCCAAAGCCTTTGGAGGGCAGGGGAGCGGGCACACACCCCTCCGCATACCGCCGTGGTGAGGAGTTTAGAATCCAGCGAATTATCCGGTGTCTCCGCGGCTCCACTAAACCGCGGGGCTTTCCCCCACTCCCCCCCCCCTTTTTTTTCCTTTAATTTCTTTTATTTTCCCCTTCCCTCCCCTTCCCCTCCCCCTATTTTTTCCCTATTTGTTTCCTATTTGTTTCCTTTTTATTTTTGCGGGTGTCACAGGTTCTTCCTTCGGGCCCAGCGGCCGCCGAGGCCGCCAGACCTACACCCGCTACCAAACACTGGAGCTGGAGAAGGAATTCCATTTCAACCGCTACCTGACCCGGCGCCGGCGGATCGAGATCGCCCATTCCCTCTGCCTGACGGAGCGGCAGATCAAAATCTGGTTCCAGAACCGCAGGATGAAGTGGAAAAAAGAGAATAAATTGCTCAACTCCTCGCAACTGAGCGCGGAGGAGGAGGAGGAGAAAACGGCGGAGTGAAAGTAGTATTTAAAACCCCACACGCAACAAGAACACGTTAAAGAAGTAGAGAGGGAGGGAGGGAGTGTGTGAGAGCCGTGAGGATGAGGGGGGTGTGGGCTGGCTGCGAGGACAGGGAGAACCTGCACATTGGTGGGACAAGCCCTCTGAGCAGCGGCCACAGCTAGAAAGTTTGGGCCACCAATGCCATGGATTCCTGTTCCCAGTGCTCCGGCGTATCCAAGAAAAAACAGGGAAAAAAAAAAAAAAGGAAAAAAAAATCAGGCTTCTAGATGCGTTTTTAATGATTTTTCTTCCTTCCCAAGCCTCCCACTCACCCCACCCCCCCAACTAATAATAATAATAATGCGAAAGTGAAGAGAGCGAGAGGAGGAAGGAAAGAAAAGGAAAGAGAAAAGACAAAAAAAATAAGGACTCCTACCTGTGTTTCTACCCTTGGTGTCACTGTTAGTAACCTGCTAACTCTTGTATTTAATGGAAGTGCTGCAATATATGTCATTTGGGGTGTTTATTGTCTTAATTTTGTAAAAATGTTTCCTGCACGGTTGACATAGTTGGGTTTTTATTTCATATTTTTGCTCCTTTGGTAAATTAATCAAGCCCTGGGGTCTTCGGAATTAGTTTTATTATAGGATTTTGGGTTTGGTTTTGTTTGTTTTTTTTTTTGGTTGTTGTTGTTTCTTTTATATATATATTATTTTTTTTTAAGGAAAATCTACTGAAAGAATGAGTACTACCTAAAAGGATGCAAAAGCAACAACAGCAATGGCAAAAAGTTCTATTTTATTAATTTTTGTACGTGTTGTGTTTGAAGTTTGTCTTAGGTATGACCATGGAATTCTCTAATAAAACAAGGTCTTCGAGCTCACGCACACCACCCTGTCATTATTACTATTATTATTGCTCTTCTTCTTATCTTTCCCTTTTCCATAGGGAACTTGCCATTCTTAAGGAGCAGAGAGCTGTAACGAAAGCCTTGCTGCTCTCTGCCTGACAATGTCTTCTAATCTGCAAGGACAAGCAACTCCAAGCACACGGAAGTTACAGTGGAGAGATAAATCTGGTTTTCCCTCTTTTTGTCTAATCGTAAATGGAAGCCCTTTTCACCAATAGTATTTCCTCGCTGACATTCTGCTTTAGTATCGCTCTTTTTTATTGTTACAGTACAAAGAGTTATGACGAAACGCTCGCCATATACATAATAAATCAAGGAAACAGGCAAAAATATGCTCTCATTTATCTACCAAAGATACCTAACATTTGCCTAGCATCTTTCAAACATCTGGTCCCTTACTTCATATCCCCAAATCAAAGTGAGGTGTATTGCAAAAAAGTCCAGATTTCAAGGGAATTTGCCCTACGAAACGAGTAGCTTCCCAGCTCCAGGAATACAGCCTGCATTTAGAGGGGAAAATAAGGTGGGAAAGAATCTAAACTAAGTCTGAAGAGCTTTTTTTTAGAAAAGCAGATTTTTATTTGAACTGGAAAGCGTTTCCAGTGACTTCTCCTGTGCTGGGGGGGCTGGGAGGGCTGGGCACCGCTCCTGCTCTGGCCAAGGAGGAACCTCCTGCTGCAAACAGCGAACTTTTCCTGGGTTTGGGGGATTAAACGAAAGGAAGTGCTTGTTCTGCTGAGGGTTAGGACTGGAAACAAGCTACCAGCCCAGGCTGCTTTGGATACCGTTTTCTGCAGCTTCACGAGGGGAAAACGCGAGGAACGAGGATACCTCCGGGCTCCCATTCCCTTTCCCACTCTCCACACGGAATACCTATGTATGAATGCATTCCCCAGTGCCACAAGCTGGTTTAATGTCACTCACTTTTAAAATCAATTCATGCAGAAGCTTCACAGCTGTAGGACATTTACTATTATTGCCACGCTTTTCATTGCCCGTAATTATTATAATTATATGTCACTTTCAATATGGCGCATAATTTCCAATGAGTTGCAGACAAGCATATGAAATTCCTAAACTGCCTTGGGAAGAAAAAGAAAGAAAAAGAAAGAAAGAAAGAAAGAAAGAAAGAAAGAAAGAAAGAAAGAAAGAAAGAAAGAAAGAAAGAAAGAAAGAAAGAAAGAAAGAAAGAAAGAAAGAAAGAAAGAAAGAAAGAAAGAAAGAAAGAAAGAAAGAAAGAAAGAAAGAAAGAAAGAAAGAAAGAAAGAAAGAAAGAAAGAAAGAAAGAGAGAGAGAGAGAGAGAGAGAAAAGAGAAGAAGGGGAAAATAAAAAGGAAGCAATGCTTAACAAAGCACAGCTTTTTCACAACGTTTTTCCCAATTTTACCAGTTTCAAGGTGCTTTTGCTCCCCAATATTCCTTGCAGGTTAACAAATGGAAAGGAAAAAGCACGTAGCACAATGCTGTGTTCAAAGAGGAAGCAAAACGCTCAGGAACGAGAATATCCCAAAAGCGACGTTGTCAACACTTCCACCGGCTGGACGTTCCCTTTTTCTCCTTTCCCTCCATTTATTTCTCCCCCTTTTCCTCTTTCTTTTTTCCCCCTCCAGAATTAAGGTGCGACCGCATCCCTGGTCCACGCTCAGCGTGCAGCAACGCTCGACTTTTGTGACCGTAACCACGCGAAAAAACCCCACGCAGCCGAGCACCCCCAGCACAGCTTCACCGTAACCCCTTTCCCCCCGCAGATATTAACAGAGGAGAATCCCCCCGTGCTCAAGGCACCTCGCCCCCTGCCTCCGAACTTCCCAACGGTGTCACAAAGGAAGAAATTAAGAGTTTAATAAAGAAAAGGAGCCGGGCGAGAAGACCCACGGGGGGGAGCGCGGACACGCCAGCCGCGGCGAAACACCACCACCACCCCCCCTCCCCGCTTTCATCTCAGCGTTGATTTTTAGGAAGGCAAATGACTGCAGAAGAAAGGGGGCTGTGTAGCGGAGGGTGAATTTGGGGGTACGGGGGTGTCCCCCCCCCCTCCAGCCCCCCCTGGGCGCGGCGCCCCGCTCGGCCGGCAGGTGGCGCGCTCCGCCAAGGTGGGGGGCGAGAGCGGCGGCGGCGCGCACGGGGATTCGGGGCGCCGCGCACCGACTCGGGCCTAAACGACTCCGCGATCGTCATTATTTGTAACCATAGAGCATGAATTACCTCTTGAGGTCATCAGTGAGAATTTACGACTGGTCAACAAAAGCACGTGATTCCCAAACGCACCCCCCACCCTCCCCCCCCCCCCCCCATATTTGGCCGCATACATAGCAAAAACGAAGTACAGTGCATCGCTATAATTCATTAATACATCATAAATCGTCAAGCACAGGGTTATAACGACCACGAGCCACAAATCAAGCCCTCCAAAATAACCCAAATGAGCTCTTACTTTGTAAACTCGTTCTCAGGGCGCTACCCAAATGGCCCCGACTATCAGTTACTAAATTATGGGACCAGCAGTTCCATGAACGGTTCTTACAGAGATTCAAGCACCATGCATTCCAGCTCTTATGGCTACAACTACAATGGGATGGACCTTAGCATCAACCGCTCAGCCTCCTCCAGCCACTTTGGGGCTGTGGGGGAGAGCTCCCGCGGTTTCCCTTCTCCAGCTCAGGAGAGCAGGTTTAGACAGGCGTCTAGCTGCTCCTTATCTTCTCCCGACTCCCTTCCCTGCTCCAACAGCGAGAGCCATGGAGGCAAACCCGCCCCGTCCCCCTCCGACCAAGCTCCTTCTGCCAGCACCACCAACACAAATTTCACAGAACTAGACGAGACCAGCGCGTCCTCGGGAGCCGACGAGGGCACTCCAATAAGCAGCAGCATCCCCCGAGCACAGGCAGAGCCCATCGCGACCTCCACCGCAGCAACAGAAGGGCAGGCACCTCAGATATTCCCTTGGATGAGGAAACTTCACATTAGCCATGGTACAGCTACTTCTTTTTCCGTCGTTGTCGTTGTCGTTGTTTATTTTCTCACACCCCTCTCCTTTTCTCTCGTGTTTTAGTGTGTTTTTTAATTTCCTTTCCCCTTTTCCTCCTCCCCCCACCCCCACCCCCCCCCACTCCCTTTTTTCTCCCCTTCCTTTTATTCCGTGGAGGCGCTTTGATCAGAAACGCAGCTATTTATTGCTTTTGTATTTCTTGCTCTGATCGCTGCTTTAAAGCTGCCTCTGGCGCCTCTAAGGGGTGTGGGGGGGGCGATTTTGTTTTACTTTCGCTATTCTCTCCGCGAAATGGGCGCTTATTTTCAGCTCGTAGCTCTATGTGGATGGTGGGAGAAGGTAATTTAAAAATTGAGGGAAGGGGGTGTTCCTTGGGGGTGGGGGGAGAGGAAAGGAAAGAATTGACCATTAAAATGGCATTATATGCACAGATGGGTCTCTCAGTCCTTTCCTGCTCTTATTTTGCTGGGTGTATTCTTGACAATCTGCTCTTGACAAAACCAAAATTGCGAGGAGATACAGAGGAACAGAGAGACATCATCCATCCATACCCCCCCCCCAACTACACACACACACTTGGCCCGGTTTTCTCCTGGAGAAAAGAGCCTTAAACCTGAACCCCCTGCAAAGAGACCCAGAAACACCCGGGCAGGGGTGGGGGGGGGGGAAGGGAAGATGCAAAATCTCGCTTCTCCACTTAAATTATGAACACTGAGTTGGGAATGTCGGTTCTGGAGGGGCCGAGGGTGGGGGGTTTACACGTGTCTGGGGGTGTGCGAGAAAGGGGGGGGGGGTGTTATTTGGGGAATAAACAGCATTCCAAGCTGCCCGAAGAAGGCGAGTATTTTACCTCGGTTTTACAATATATACATCTATCTATATAGCCTTAAGGATAACAAAAATCTTAGCAGAAAGCAAAACCCCAACCCCGCTGTTGTCCGTGTTATTCAGACATGACTGGACCAGACGGGAAGAGGGCGAGGACAGCGTACACTCGCTACCAGACCCTGGAGTTGGAAAAGGAATTCCACTTCAATAGATATCTCACCCGCAGGAGGAGAATAGAGATCGCTCACGCTCTCTGCCTCTCCGAGCGCCAGATCAAAATCTGGTTCCAGAACAGGAGGATGAAATGGAAGAAGGATAATAAACTGAAAAGCATGAGCTTAGCCTCGGCGGGCAGCGCCTTTCAGCCATAAAGTCTAGAGGAGGAATATCGAGGGAAGAAGAGGAGGCGAGAAAGAAATCCGTAAATAAATAAATAAAGCGCAGATCTTAGTTTCCGAGTACTGTACAGTGAGGCACCTTCCTTTCGGCATGTTGTTGATATTCTAAACCAACGCGTATGGTACCGTTCTCCCAGACTGAGTCCATGTCGTGTTCTGTTTGTTATTAAATTTGGGGGTTTAAATCTTTTCCTTTTTTTTTATATATAATTAAATTTTATTTCCAGATGCTCCTCATGCTCTTGTTCTTCTAAATGTCTGTGTCCGTGCTCTCTTGATGCTTTCTGGAAAGCTAGCATGTTTTATGTGAGCCCTTTAAATGTTATAACTTATTTATAAATCGAGAACAGATACGGTTGTTTATTTGTTCGGTTTCTTTTCTTTATACCCCCCCCCCCCTTTCCTGAGTTTACTGCTTTTGGGTGAGTTCTTCTCTGCCTAAGCTAGAAAAGGGGGTTCCTGCACTACAGTGGCAGAAAAAAAAAATAAGCTAAAAAACCCAAACAAAAATGTAAAAAAAAAAAAAAAAGGCAAAAAAGAGAAAAAAAAAAAAAGGCAAAAGCTCTTGTATCTGTCTTAAAATTGTCCAGTCTGTGTTTTAGTTCAAACTTCAGGCCAGGGTTTCGAGTCCCAGCCTAATTCCAAGACGTACTCTTAGACGTGGGTAAACTTCACTATTATAAAAGAAAAAAAATATGTATAAAATCGGACCAACAATAGAGTGCTCTAATGTCTGTAAATACTAGAAATATTTCTGATGTGACTAATAGACGGTTTGTAGTGGGCAGAGTGAATGCAATGTTATGTGTAAAAATGGCATCTGTCATGTCTAGCTGCCTGTTAGTACTTTGCCAATAAGCTTTTTGTATTTGTTTGTAGCTTTACTTGAAGTCAAATAAACGTTTCTCCTACTCACAAAGGCTCCCAGTTGCACTTTATGCACAAGCTCTGAGATTCGCAGCCCATGCTGGAGCCGCGGAGATGCCTGGCGTGGGGCTGAGCCGCTGCGAGGAACTCTCAGCAGAGCCCCAGCCTCTCCTGGGCAGCTCTGGGGAGCTCAAACCCACCAAATATTCAAACCAAACGCCCTCCAGGCACCGGCCGGACACACACCGCAGCCCTTCACACCTCCCCAACGCCGTCTCCCCAAAACACCGCCGACCCCCCACCCCACGGCAGCAGCCAAACTGGTTTCCAGTACTTCAAGTTGCAATCCCGCGGTATAAACGCAGATTTACGTGCATTTCAGGAGTTAGATCTACATACACACGCGCACATTTGAAAAGCCAGAGGTATTTATGCCCGCATATGCGTACACATAAACCTGCGCTCTATAGAATCACAGATCGGTGTGTTTGGATAGATATATTTGAAATAGATATAAATAAACATGGATATATACAGCATACATTTCTGCGCTGAGCACGCCCAACTCTGCTATCTCTCGTCCTCGGTTTGTTGTGCTTAACTGCTTTTAACTCCTAGTCTCCGGCTTAACATGTAAATAACATCTCTGCAACTACTGACATTCACTACAACGAGTCATTTTGGCTGCAGATTATTTAACATCATCAAAGATGGCAAATGTTGCCATTTCGCTACCTAGGGAATCTCCCAAGGCACGAGATACTCCGGTTTAAAGTCGCTCGATTTGGCAAAACGCCACTGGCATCTCTACAATACAGCTTAGGCTTTTTGTTCGTAGCAAGTAAAGTTGGAGCTTAAAACTTACCAAACTTAATCTCCCACTGTTTAGGTACTTCTTAAGTGATTTTGAGAGGGATGTGAAGTGGACTGTCAGGTCCCAAACCATTTGCTCGCCTTCCCTTGATTTTTTTTCTTTCTTTTTTCTTTTTTTTTTTCACTAATAGCAAACTATACCAAAAGTGGGTATGACATTTAGATGTCAAATGGATAGGGTTTTATCTAGAAGTTAGATCGTAAAAATCGCCCAGACCTCAGACAGATACCCCTCACTGGCTCTCAAAAGTCACGTGAGGTCCATAAAGTTAGTTTTATGGTTTTGGGGAGTTGACAATGTACAATATATTTCACATTCTCTAGAATGTTAAGTGACACTTTAACTGCTTGGTTTGGCTTGTAAGGGGCAGCAATGGGTGAGCACTTTTCCAGATGAGATAAACGTTGCAATTGCAGGGAACATGTTTTGCGGGTCCAGTTTTCAGTCCAGGGAGCCAATAGACTGGAGTCCTGAAAGTAAGTCCTGAAATATTATCTGCTTAAACTGTTTTAAAGGGTTGATATGACTAAAGGCTGAGCGGGGAGGAAAGAGGGTCTCTCTCTCTTTCAGAGCTTTATTTCTCACTTTTAAGAAGGTCTTAATTCTTATCCTCCCGAGAGCTGGAACTGCATTACATTTCCATCACAGCTTCGAGGCCCGCAAGTAAACTTTGTGGCAGCGGGAGAAATAGAAAAGCTGTAGAGATTCATTATCATTGCACGGCAACTCCATCCTGTCTTTGCCGGGGGACATGTGTACTTCAGCCAAAGTTTGGGTTTATCCTTCGCCATTCTTGCGCGTTTATTGGAGGCGATTTCGGTGCTTTTCGAACTGCTCGCAAATAGCCGCAAACCTGAACCATGACTTTGCATTTCAATCAGCGATATTCTGTCTGTGCGTTTCAGGGTGTTAACACCTCTTGATTTTCATTATTTTCACCTTCCTGCCATAGAAATGCACTTTTTTGTTTCCTTTCGGCCTGTGTAGAGACCGGTATTTTTTGCCCCAGGGCTTTCCCTTCCTTTTTCCTCCTTTTTTTTCCCCCTTTTTTTCTCCCCTTTTTTCCTTCCCCCCTCCCCCCTCTTGGGTTTTCTTGGGTTTTTGCCCCCCCTAATAATACAAATGAGTGTCCTCATATTCCCGTAGTTCGTTTCTCTCACATGGAGCCACTGACTGACCGCTGTTATGTCTCCAGCCTGTCCTGAAGTGCTACAGAAAAATAATCAGAGAGGCTGCAGTTTGCAGACAGAGCGTCCAAACCCTTCTGAGCTCACCGATAAATCCCAGATTTCCTCCTCTCCCTCTCAGGGCCGACATCGCTCTGGGAAAGGCAGGCAGCAGCCTTTTGCTCTGGGAAAATAAACAAGTTGGAGGGAAGGGCAGGAGCGCGGAGCCTGCGCGGGTGAGGGGCGAGGGGCTGCGCTGGGGCTGGCCGGGCAGGTGGCCCCAGCCGTGGGCTCCGACTCCGCGGCAGCGCAGTAGAGCAAAAGCGAGCGAAATAGGGCTGACAGAGCCAAATAGAGAGGGGGGAGAACCCCATAAGCCAGCCCCAGAGAGGTTGCTTATTTTGCAAGCCTAGTCGCCACATTTGCAGGAGAGGTAGGGGACACTTTGTCCACACCTGAACCAACTCACACCAAGTCCTCCCCCATCCCGGCCCCCATCCCTCTTTCAAAAATAAAATCAAATTTTAAACAAAAAAGTTCAAAGCGGAGGTGCTGGAGAGGGGAAGGGGGGTGGTGGGGGTGGTGGTGTTTAGAATTTGGAGCACTCACAAGCTTTCCCCCCCCCCTCCTTTTTAGGGTAAGACAACATTTGGTGGACACATGTCCGTCTCTTTTACACAAAGCAGAATGTCCCCCTTTAGCACACTTTGGAGATTGCTTTTCCTTCCTTGGGCTGTTTTTCCTGTCCTGCTCCATGTGTCTCCTAATATCTTTGCTATCATCATTTGAACTTCTGGCTTCTCCCTGAGCAGTCAGGGGGTGGCCAGTGCAATCCTGGAGCCCTCTGCTCTGAGAACCTGTAAACAGATTCAAAAAGCTGGAAATTCAAGGAAGGGAAGCGGGGTGCAGGGAGCTTTTCCTATTCAGCAGTCTGGTTTTATGTTGAGCAGCCTCTCCCTAATCTCTGTGCAAGCTGGACGCCTGCTTTTTGAGTTAATAGTAAAGATATTTCATGGGATCCTAAAGGGCTCCTGTGGCATGACCTTGAAAGGTGAATTTAGCCCCTCAAGCTGCAGATGGTTTGTCTACCCAGGGTTAGAAGCGCTGGAAGGAGAAGGGATGTGGGGAGAGGCATGTGATCCTGCTGGGGTTAGCCCAAGCGATGGCCTTCTATTCCTTACCCTCCTGGTCCCTACTGGTGACTAGAAATCCTTTCTCCTAATTCAAATGATAAGTAGTGTTTTAGGCAAGAAAAGCATTACCTCTTCACCTCAATGTATGTTTGAAATGTAACTGTAAGTTCAATGCATGCAGGTACCCATAAACACTCTGATTCCAAAATATATTCATCCATCCATGTAGCCATACATCTACCCATTCATCCACCTCTTCCTCATCTATCACCTGCATCGCTGATCCCCACATCCCACTCCAAGGGTTTTATACAGTCCCAGGCAAAGTTTCCTCCCAAAACCACTCTGATCACAGGCAGCACAAGTGGTTTTCTTCTTACATACCACAGTTCCTAATCCTTTGGTGTACACAACATGTTATTCCAAGGGGAAAAAGCAAGCACACCAGGGCAGCCAGCCCAAGGGGAATTTGCAATGCAGTTTAGCCCCAGGACTTTGTGGTGAGGAAGAGATGCCTGTGAGGGTGACAACAGGGGTCAACCCTGTGCCACCCCGTTGATTTGAGCATCCCCGGTGCAGGGGTTGGCACCCGGCCTGTGCCACCACAAAGGAAGAGGGACTGGATTTTGTTGCTGTCATGATAATATCACCCTTCCCATCACTTTCAATACACCCTGTCCTCTCTGTCTGAGATCTGCTTTCTACCTGCAGCATGTAGCATGTTTTTAAGATAGGGTTTGTTTTTTTTTTTTTAATAAGCTGGATTTTGGAGGGTTTATTTGGGGGTTTTGTTTCTCTTACATGGCATTAACCTCCATCTTCCTGTGAGGCATAAACAGGGATCATTGTCTACCATTTTACAGCCTGGAAGGGGTCACAAGCTTAGCACAGGCTTCCCCCCTCCCTCCCTCCCCATTCTTTAAAGAAAGGGAAAAAAAAGGTCTCCCTGTTGCTGGTGAAAAGGAAGTATAAAGAGAGTAAACAGGAAAACGGAGCTCTGACCGTGCAGGTAGGCGGGGATTTTCCTTTGCATTTTTCATCGTTTCTCTCACTTTAATGGCATACATCAGACATGGGACAATTAGTTCTTCTGTAGCTGTAGAAGACAGAATAAATACAAAGTGCTTTAATAACGGCTCTAAGAATATAGAGAATCTCTAGCACATGATTACTGCTTACAAGGAAAATCTCCTTTTATTAACCCTTGGGTTTGCAGATCTTTCTGTCACGACTCTGAGTATACATGGGGGGAAGCCTCTGTGTGACTCCCCAAAACCGGGTCTGGTGAGGTAGATGTGGGCTGTTTGCCCCAGTTGAATGAAGGGTTCCAGAGCTCAGAGAAGCCTCCCCAGGATCTTACCTGTTTCACAGCACCCCTCACATCCAAAAATGAATGCATCCATATGACCTTACACCTATTTTTGCTCCCTGTCCTCTCTCTTTAGCTTTCCCCCTTCTCTGAAGGTTTCCTATTTCGTTTAGTAAACGTTATAGAAACCTCACTGCTGCTTTGAAGGGGAAAAAAAAACCAAACCCCACAGCAGTTATTTCTCACCCAAGAGCCAGGCTAGGCTCCACAGCCTGGAGGAGCCAAGCTGAGCATCTGTATTAATTCCAGCTCCCTTCAAGCTGCCTTTTGGAGTGTCTTCCAGGGAGGGCCAGGGACCCCCGTGCTCAGACTGCTGCTGAAGGGCGAAAAATAGATGAAATTTCACCCGTAAAATACCCATTTTGGTTCTTAGGATCGTTCAGCAATAAATAGGGGGGTGGGGAAATGCATTTGTGAGTGGTTTGGGGAGCGTTTTAATGCAAAAGGCAGCCCGAGGTTGCAACGCCGTTGTCAGGCCACTGTGAATGTCACGGTTTTATTGATGTATTTATTTTTTTTGGGCTCTTTTTCGTCAAGCTTTCGTGTGTTTTAGACTTTCTTTGCTCACCGGGTTCAGGGTAAGAGAAAAGAAAATTCCCTCCCACTTAGGTTTTAAAAACTTCACCCAAAGGAGCAAGCAGAGCAAACTAAAAAGAACCCCAAAACAAAGAAACCCCACCAAAAACAAACTTCGCCAAGGTAACCTAGTTACAGATGTGTATGATGCCTTATTTTATTCAACAAAAAGTGATTAAAATCTGTTAAAGGATTTAATTAAGAGAATTAAATGAAAAGGAAGGGGCACAAATGAGTTGGAAAAAAAAAAGCGAAGCTATTCTAAACGATTAAATCGCCATTTTAACAGTATAATGGGGTTTGCATACTGAAAAGAGAAATCAGAGCTCATATCTCATCAATAATTCATAGGCAAGAGGGATCATTCCGAGGTCAGCAGACTTGTACAGCCCCGGCTCCTCTCTTGGAGGAGAGGGTGAGCATCGTATCACAACACAGAGCGGGCCCCGGGGGCTGCCGGGGCACCTTTGCAAGGAAAACATAAGCTCCAGGGGGTTTTCTTTATTTCTTTCCTTCTTTCTTTATTTTTCTTCTTCCTCCTTTTTTTTTTTTCCCATTTCCTACCCCTTCTTTTTTTCTTTTTTCCTTTTTTTTTTTTTTCCTTTTAAAGTACCCATCCCACGGCGCGGGTGTGCTGGGCACTGGCCGTAACCGAGGGGGAGGGCTGGAGAAGGGCTGGATGTGGTTCGTATTGCTCCACTACAGACACACACCAGCAATGTGATGTTTAAGCCAAAGGGATCTCCTTGTTCTGTTTGTTGCTGGCCCCAGAAATGAAGGCTGGGAGGCGGCGGGTCCCTCCTGCCTTGGCAGAGAGGCAGCGACTAGAAATCGCCCTGCTCAGGCTGTAATTCTTGTGGTTCAGTCTATTTAGAGGAAGACTCAGCTTATTCACCTATTTCTTTGCCATGGTCCTGTAAATGACTCCAGCCCACACTCCTGTGTGCCCAGTCCCCCCCAACCTTTCGAAGGAAACCACCCCCCTTCCGTCCAGCTCCGCTCCCCGAACCCTTTTCCCTCCCCCACAGCTGAATTTCAGGCTGAGGATTTGCTCTTTCTTTCCCCCAGCCCCTTCCTCTTTTTTTTTATTACACGTCCGACCTGAAGGGAGCGAGCTGATGGGATTATTTAAAATCCTCTTACTAAAGGTCTCTCCTCAATTAGGGAACCCGAAAAAGACTTTTATGGGCTTTGGCTCCTCCTCCGGGGTTTCTTTCCAGTCCTAGAATGGATTTAAGAATGAAATTTTCTTTCAGAGCGTGGCTATTTCTGTGTCTGAGCTGATTTTTCCCATTCTTTCCTCTCCTAATGTTAAATAAATGATATTTGGAAGGAGGTTGATAACTTAACTCGGGAGGTGTCCACCCGGCATAGTTTTTCCGTGTTCTGTTACCCTAAATAGCTTTAAAAAGAAACTATTTTGACAGCGAGCGTTGAAAGAATAAGACTAGTACGAGGTTTTTCCCCCGCTTTGATTTATCTCTTTTTAACATGTGTATGTATGTCTGTCTATATACACACACACATATATACCCTTCAAGTCAAAACAAATTACAGCGCCGGGATTTGGGGGAAAGGACGTTTGTTTGGTGCAAATCTGGGCTGTTTATGTAGGGAGACTGCAACGCCGCGGTGTACAGGGGGGTGGTCGTTCTGGGATGGAGCAGGGGAACGGGCGCCCCGGGTAGGGGGATTTGCTGCGGCTGCCTCGGCTGTAACGTCCCCGAGCAGCCAGCAGAGCCCGCTTCAGACCAAGTTCACTGCCAGCGGGGCCGGGCCGGGCCGGGCCGGGCTGGGGCGAGAGCGGGACCGGCCGCCCGCAGCCCTCCAGTCCCTGCCCGAACCCTCCGGGGCTCCCTAAGTAACACGGGAACCCTCTTTATCTGCCGAAAAAGGAGGAAAAATCACCCCCAAAATTAGATCAGGGCAGATAACCGCCGTCAAAACCTCGCCGAGGAAATCCTAAATAAAAGAGAAACAATATATTATATTATTTCTTGAGGGTTTCCCCCTCTTTGCTCTTTTAAATGTAAAAATGTGGGGGGAGCAAAAAGGGTAAAATAAAATCAGTGGTCTAAAGCAGCAATGGGTGATGTGGACAGAACCATCTAATGTTTGCAGAGCTCAGATTTTTTTTTTGTTCTTCCTTGGGTAGGGGAAAAAAAAATCACAAAGAAATGTCCTTTTTTTTTTCCCCTTTTCTTTTGTAAGTAAAATAAATAAAATAGGAAAATCAGCAGCGCGCTGGTTTCTAGAGGCGTAGCCGGGAACTCTGGTCTTGGGGGGCTTGTTAGTACAGCATTATAGCTCGAGGGGTCAAAAAGTTGAGGGTCAAAAGTTTACGCTGTGCGTGACTCGGTCTTGTGTATAACCCTGATAGACTGATGTCAGTGGGAAAAAAAAGAGGGAGAGAGAAAGAAAGAGGGAAGGGGGGGCCGAGGTGGGAGGAAGAGTCTCTGCTGCTGGGCAGAGATGAGAGAGGATGATAGCGAGGTGGGAGCGACCTTCAGCCGCGAAGGCAGAAAGGGGGGATAGGAGGCTGCGGGATTTTGGGGTGGGATGTTGGTGGAAAGGAAGTGGGGTTTGGGTCTCCCGCGAGGAAACGCCGAGCGAGTCCTCAGTGTTTTTTTTTTTTTCCCTAAGATGAGCCCTGAAACGCTTTTTGGAGTCGAATGAACAGAATATAAGGGGAAATGCATTTATTCAACCCAATTACGAGGAGGTCCCTTTAGGATATTGAAGCGAGCAGTTAAAAAATAATTTTCATTCCAGCGTCAATTTTATTTGGGGGGAAAAAAGAAAAAAGAAAAAAAAAAAAGAATGAAATTCAAAAGCCCGACACGTTTGGTGAAAATGTGGTTCCAAAATCTTTACTTGGAACCACTTCCAGAATCCTTGAAGAGGTGCCTGGCCCTCATAGAGCCGAGCATCTTTAATACAGACTCGGTAGGAATGCAAATAATCATCCACAAAGAGAAAAGAATGACACGAAATAACGCCCATGATTTACTGTTTGCATTTCTACCTTAATCGTAGAGAATCTGAAATTATGATATAGAGGCAAAAGCGATGGATTGATGGCTTAAAAAAACCCAATATATGTATTTAAAGGCGGTTTTAAGTGCTCCTTTCGTCGCTCGCTCCGGTGAAGGCAGCTAATTTTGTTTTGCAGCACGTTTTCCGCCGGAATTTGAACGAAATGGTTTCTATTCCTTGCTTGAAATGTGACTCCACTCTGGTCATTGCAACAGTTTAATGAACTGATATAATAAATATTTCCCTTGGCATTTCAAAGTTATTTCTACACTGCCAGACTTTGAACCCTCCAAACTCTAAATATTATTTGCACTGGGACTGGGAAAGATCTTTTCAATAGCTGCTTAAGCAAACAGTCGTAGCGAGGCAAACTCTTCCCTTTTTGCCCTGCAAATTTGCTTTTTTTTTCCCCTCTCGGCTTTTAAATATTTTCAGTGCCTAAATACTTATAACAAGGGTCATTTTTCTTGGAAGAGAAAGAGAGAATATTAGAGCCCTGGGAAAGGCATTCTGGAAAATCCATTTGCTTTCCCGATGCGGATATATTCATGGAGTAGGTGAAATTCAAGCGAACGTAAAGCGTTTTGTTTCGCGTGATAAGACTCGGCTTTAATTAATTGCCATGAATTTGCTTGGTATTTATAAAATATCACTATATGAGGGCTCCGGTTTAGTTGTAACTTGGGTGATCCATCTCTTCGCCCTTGTAATTACTGCACTTATCTCTCTAGAACAGTCATTTCTACTCCAGGTTTATAGAACAGGTAATGGATAATAAAAGCCATTTGTTTTCGGGATATTAAAACAAGCAGGTATAATTTCACGGCAATAAAGGAAAAAAAAGCCCAACCCAAACCACCTCCCAACTTTCCTTCTAATATTCACTCGTACATCAGAACGTTTAACTTTCCATTTAGGGACGCGCGTTCGTTTGAAGTGGGTTCATTTGGAGAGATGTGAGGAGGGACGGAGATAGGGGAGGGGAGAGGGGGGAAATTAAAGGTACCATTTCCAAGGATATTTCTAATTTATCTCTCTTGCTCGGGACGGACTCGGTTTAACCCGGGAGTCTCCGAGTGCAAACCGGGAGCTGCAAACACAATTCAGGGCGCTTTTCCTTCTCTCCATATATATTTATAGTTGTTATTATTATTTTCTCTCCCGGACAATCAATAGAATGCGCTTTTTAATCCCGATTTACTCTCCAATGACCTCTTTATCGCGGTCTTCGAGCTGGCGGTGTTAACAGGGAGATAAAGGGTGAATCCCCGTAGGGATGCGCTGCTCCCCCCTCGCTGCTTCGCTGGTTTTAAGGGGAAAAATATGATTTTAAAATATTCTTATCCGAAATGAAAAGGACACCCAAGGCTGGGAAACTACCCAGGGCTTAAATCTGCTTTTCCCTGTGGCAAAGCAGGTGTGGGCCGATTCCTACCCGACCCCGCAGCCTCCTTCCCTGCTGTTGTACATCTCGGATGGTCGTTATTAAATGTTTTGCCTTAAAGAAGCGCCTTAGCCTTCCGCGTGCTGGGGGTACACACACACACACACGCGCGCAAACCCGGTTTCATACAAGAAAGTTTGCGCTTGGAAAAGGGTGGAAAAGGGCAAAACTAAAAGAAAAGATCCCCTTCTTCATTGCTGCTAAAGCCGAGAGCGAGATTTCGGGGGGGGGGGGATATGACAGGGAAAAGGGGGGGGGCCTACAAATGAAAGCGCGGAGCGGTGCGGAGGGCGCGCGGCGCGGGGTGAACCGCGGGTCAGCGCGGCTCTCGGCGGCCGCCGCGCTGCGGACACGCCTCGCTGTTTAACAAAGACTGACAAACTATGAGATTAATACCAAAACTTGCGGGTTTCCCACCCCAAAATGCTCAGAGGGCCTCCCGGCGCTGCCGGGAGCAGCTCCGCTCGCCTTGAAGGACAATAGTGGTTTATACTGGGGGGAGAGCGGGGGAGGGGGCACCCACTAAAAAAAGGCAGAAGAAGAAGGAGAGAGAGAGAAATTAGGGTTCTTATCGAGAATTAATCTCATTGTAAAAGCAACACTGGGGAGAGAGGGCGGAAAAGCCGGGCTAGGGTGGGGAGGGGAAACGGGGCGGGGGGGATGGGGGTGTTTAGGGGGTTCTATAGGATTCCGCCTGCAAAAGCTTCCCAAGTTTTGGGGGAGCCCCCTCGGGGATTACTCCGAGGAAAAGACCCACGTTTTGCTAAGGTAGGTACCGCTGTCTGTGTTACACCTGGGAGGTGGGCCGGGCTGCGGATGGGGGGGGCACTAAGCAGGGGGTACCCCCCCACCGAGGGCTGCCTCTTTTGGGGGGACCACATATGCGCTCAGCATGAAGAATGGGATAACGATCCCCCTCTCTGCGCTGGCAGGTGCCTTTGGGAGGGTTTTGGAGAGGATTGAGGGCTCCCATGGCCACCCCTTGGCGGTGGACACAGGTCGGGGGATCCGGGGGACACCCCTTTCCTTCCTGCCTGAGGTTACTTTGAGGTGGGAAAGAGCCCGGGTGGAATTTGCCGTGGGAAACGCGCGACGTGGGGTGGTTTCATAGAGAAAGCTGTGAGGAAGGGGGCTGGGAGGGGGGCAGCGAGGGGCTGCCTTTAATTTGGGATCGGAGGCAGCGAGGGGGAGAGTTCTTGGAGGTGTTTGGGGGGAAGGTGGCTGGTAAACGCTAGGGGTGCTGGTTTGCTGGCACCGACCCCTGCGTGCCACCGGGAAGGAGCATTAAACCTTTCTCTTTCCTATTTTTTTCCCCTAAGAATGTGGGAGGGGGGTAAAAATCAGGAATAGGCCTTAGTTATGGCTATTGAAACTCCTGTCCTCGGTTAGGAGCTGGCTGCGAGGAAATCCGATAAAATAAATCAGAGAGAGGATTGGAAAGGAGGAATAACATTTCAGTTAATAATAATTAAAAAAAAAAAAAGAAACTGATGGGATTGGTTCTGTGGAATTATTTCATGGCATCCAGCTACACGTTGTACAGCGGATTTTATTTGTCTCCTTACTTTGATGGCAGGCTTTAAAGGGGAAGGTGAATTCTAGTGTGGCTGCTGCTGCCCAGTGTAGGTCTGTTGGAGGGGGTGAAATTTGCTCCATGCAAAAAGCGGCTTTGCTTCACTCTGCGACTTTGGTTGGGAATCTGGGGGCTTGTTCAGGCGTGTAAAATGGTCTGGGGGTTGTCCCAGGTGCGTTTGGGCTTATTGCTTAAAATATGCCGTCCTTTTTCGGTTTCCCTGCGAATTATACGTTTTATCAGGAAAAACGACTATTCGCCTTAAAGTACCCGAAAAATCTCCGGGCATCGTGTGCCCGGGAAAGCCCCGGGACATTCGTGCTTGGCCAAGGCTCTTTTTGCTGGGAAAAATGAAGGAATTTGTGAAATATATTGAGGTTGTTTTGCAGGAATTTTGATGGAGGGGAATTTGTGAAATATATTGAGGATGTTTTGCAGGAATTTTAATGGAGGGGAAACGCAGCTTTTCTCTCAGAACCTCTTTACTGTGGCATTTAAATGCAATTAATTCGGGAGATACTTGACCAAAAAGGTTCTGCCTTTTGAAATACAAATAAAAAAAAGAATTGGGGGGAAAAAAGGGGTGGGGGATGTTGTACTTTTAATCTCTTGGGCAACTGTAATTTTAAACGAAATCTCAACATGATGCTACCCTCATTAGTTCCGAATGAAGGTTCATTACCTAGACAGGATGAATATTTTATTGCTTTATATCCCTTTTTCGGAAATGAAACGCCTTTGATCTTTTTCTCGGGTTGTAAAAAGAATTGCCTGTCATAAAAAAAAAGCGCCTGTCGTCCCATCTGCCTTTACATTCTGTATTTCTTTTCATCTGTTTCTCGCTTATATCTATATATATAATTTATCCTTACACGCACGTATAAACCCAAACCTTAGTTGACCTCCAAGAACGAAAAATGGATTAAATCTCTGCGCTGCGCATCAGAAACTCATCCCGCGGGTTTCAGGGTGGAGGGGACCGGGCAGTGGCGTTTTGCTTTTAAACGGCGATTATTTGGATTCGAAGCTCTTTACGCACCTCTCTCTATATATATTCAGGAGCGGTTTTTTTTTAGCAGAGCGGTAAATTAATGTGCAAGGGATTGAGGAGAGGGTAGGAAAGTTCCAGGTTTTCTCTCCTAGTATTGGCTATTCGGATGCTGTGCTGGTGCTTCAATTAATCGTCTTTCCTCTGAAGAGTGAAATCTTTGAACCGTCTTTACCTATAGATTAATTCCTGATCTCTCGAGTCCCAAAACTCTGCCCTCCCTCCCCAGAAGATAATTATGGCGGTAGGCGAAGATCTCTGACCAAGGAGGATGCATCTGTCTTCTATATGTACCCTGTAGATCCGAATTTGTGTAAAGGAAGTTGGGTCACAAATTCGTATCTAGGGGAATATGTAGTTGACACAAACACTACAGGTCACACACCCAGAAGGCACTAAAAACAAACACCCCCCCCCAAAAAAAAAAGAGCCACCCACACCCCACAACCTTAAATAAAAGGGTGAAAACAAGATCTTTACCAGAAAAACGTTTTCTGGCAGAAAAGAAATACTTTGGATTTGACCTTAGCTCAACTTCAGCGCTCCTGCGATAAACTTTATCATCACTTCGAGATAAAATCTGTGCTTGAGGGGAGGTGGGGGGAAGAAGGGGGAGGAAGGGGGGTTATTGCTGCCATCTAAGAACTAGGAGCCCACTGTTGCTTTAGGTTGTGTAATCTCAGCACTGGCACCAACAAAACTAACATATTTATATATATATATATACATATACACACACACACATATTACTGCTTGCGAGGAGCTTATTGCGCGTTTCGGGTTTAAACCCGGCTTTGTGGGGATGGTGGCTTTTGAAAGGCTGCTGGTTTGCTCTGGCTTTTAAAGCGTCTTTATTACCAGAAGGGCGAGCGGAAGATGCATTAGGACTTGGGCTAATTCGCTTTTGTAATTGTTCATCAAGTCCCTGATTCCCTGCTCGGAGGATGGGCTCCCTTTACCACCGGTGCGTGGGAAAACGGTCAATCTCAGAAATGTGATTTAGGACACCGGGCACCCCGAATTAGCTGATGAATTTCTTATCGATCCCCAACGAGCCCTATTCATCTCTGCCAGGCTCGACCCTTCCCGCATCACCTTGGCGGGGGATGCTCTGCAGCCCCCGCCCGCGGGGACCTCTGCAGAGCGTGTACGGGGGCAGCAGCGGCGAGCCCCGAGCCCCGCAAAAATCATTTTTTACTTCTATTTTAATGAAATCTGGTTTTGCGGGGGGGGGGGGATGGATGCATTTCTTTTTTCCCACCCCTCCTCCTTCTCCCACACCCCCCCCCCGCCCCGAGCCAAGGACACACCCCCGGAGGGGTGGGGGCCGGTCCTCGCCCGCGAGGCGCTGCGGGGCTCGGGGCCGGCAGGGCCGGGGTCGGGGCTGGGGAGGGGGGAGCGGGAGCCCCCGGTCGCCTCCCGGGGGTGCTCAGGGCCCCGGGAGAGCCCGGGCTGGGCAGGTTTCCTTATCCGGGGACCGCGGGGCCCCTCGCCATTGGCCCGCGCTGTCACATGGACTCAACTTTGTTCACTTGACAGTAAGTAGGAGGGTTCCGCGAAACAGGAAAACGAGTAAAGGGGGGGACGGGGATAAATTTTAGGAGAGATAGATAGATATATATATATTTTTTTTTTCCGTGTGTGCAATTCTAAGAAATTAATGGCCATGAGCTCGTTTTTGATCAACTCCAACTATGTGGACCCCAAGTTCCCACCCTGTGAAGAGTATTCCCACAGCGATTACCTTCCCAGTCACTCGCCGGAATATTACGGCAGCCAGAGGCGAGAGGGCACTTTCCACCATGACGCGATGTACCCGCCGCGGTCAGCCTGCGAGGAGCAGCTCTACTCCTCCTGTCCCAGCGCCGGCCGCCCAGCAGCGCTGCCGTCCCCCCGGGGTCACGGCCGTCCTCCACCCGGCTTGCGGGGCCACCTCCCCGCGGCGGGCCCCCCCCGCCAGCCGGGCACCCCCAGCCCGCCGCCCTCCTGCAGCCAGGACCCCCGGAACCCGCCCGCCCCCCCCTGCAAGGAGCCGGTGGTCTACCCCTGGATGAAGAAAGTCCATGTAAGCACGGGTAAGTGAGCCGAAGCGCTTCGCTTTATACCGAGTAGCACCTCAAAGTCTTGTAGAAATCCTATTGCACCAGTTGTAAAATAACCATTCGCGGAGATTTACGATCGCCTGTTTGCAGAGCGGTATAATTACATCCTCCATAAATTTTTATTGCTCTGCTTGGCCATGTGCCTTTGAAGTCTCTGTTACCATCCTCCTCCAATTTCTTGCAGGCTACTTTTTTTTTTATGGCTGTTGAATCTTCATAAGTTAAGTTTTATGTTTTCGTAATTTGTATTTAAGTGGCGGGTTGAGTAAACTTTTACTATCCCTCCCCCCTTTTTTTTTCTTTTTCTTTTTTTTTTTTTTTTGGTGTGTGATATTTAATAACAAGGAGTGCCTGCGTTTCCCTGCTTGCATGTGTGCAGGGGGAACTTTAAAGATTTGGGGATAATACAGTGATGCTCAAGTAGAGGTGTGTGTATATATATACGTGTGTGTGTATACACGCACGTAGAGGGCATGGAAAATGTGTCTAGGGGACCTTATAAAAACGTTTAGACAGGAATACACGTCAAGCAGCGAGGATGGAGGTGGAGATTTGCAGATAGGTTCTGGGTGTATTTTTAGCAGGTTTGTGGTGTGTTTTTTTGAGTGTATCCCCCCACCAAAAGAATGTGCGATGCTTTTTTGGGGGGAAAGGACCCGTTAAAGGAACATCTCGGTAATTCTTCTGCTCTTTGTTTTGTTTTTTTCTTCCTTTTTTTTTTTCTTCTTCTCCTTTTTCTTTTTCCTCCTTTGTTTGTTCAGTAAACCCCAATTACTCAGGAGGGGAACCGAAACGCTCCCGTACAGCCTACACCAGGCAGCAAGTCCTGGAGCTGGAGAAGGAATTTCACTATAACCGTTATCTCACCCGGAGGCGCAGGGTCGAGATCGCCCATTCCCTCTGCCTCTCCGAGCGCCAGATCAAAATCTGGTTCCAGAACAGGAGGATGAAATGGAAAAAAGATCACAAGTTACCAAATACCAAGATCAGGTCTAATTCTTCCAGCTCCTCTGCCAACCTGCAGATCCCACAAGGAGGATCTCAAAACCGATCCCATGGACCAGCTGCCAGCCTATAACTATTCCTTGGATGCATGCATGGATGGATGGATGGATAGATGGATGGATGGATGGATGGAGTGTGCGTGTTTGTGAGTTTGTGTGTGTGTAGGGAACACATGGTACTTTGTTTTTAATGCTCCGAGAAGCGAGGGAAGGAGGGGTACTCTTTATTTATAGGGGAAACAGGGAGACCCAGCTGCAACAAAGCAGAGCTGGGCTGCTGTGCCTCTTCCATTAAGAGGAGGCTGTAGATAGTAGTTTTCAGATTTGGCTAAGATGGATCCTTGTTTCATCTTTAATCACGCCAAGCTCTGCCCCATTTGTCATGTTTACTCTCCCGTACAAAGGATGGACCTTATGTCTGCTATTACCTCGACAACCAGCGCTCACTTTAATAAATGAGGCTCAGTTTCTTCAAGGCGAACTGGATTTTCTCCCCCCTCCACCTACCCCCCCCCCTTTTTTTTTCCCCTCTTCTTTTTCCCTTCTCGCCTGCCAGCCACGAACGGGAAGTTTCTATCCCGCCATCCCAAAGACGCGGCGATTCTAACACGGCCCTGCCATGGAGGGGGGGAAACGCAACAAACACAACCCAAATCCACGGGGGTGCGAGGGGGGGGGGAGCTCCAGGACACTGCACTCGTCCTGAGTGGAAGTGGGGGAATACCCTGGGGAGGGGGGGAGGAAGGGAAAACTAGGTCAAATGGGTGGTGGACAAAGAAAGCAGGAGGATCATCATGACCACCACCCCCCCGCTATTTTATTTCCAGTACGTTAATAGTGACTTTGGGAAGGGGAGGTGGGGTAGTTTAGGAACAGGGTGATGAACTGTGGCACCTGGATTCACCCCCACAGGCCAGGATGAGGAGGGGGGAACCCCCCTCTCCTGCTGTGGAGCCCAGTTTTGTACTGAAAATGTGAATTCGGGATGGAGGGGTGAAGGTTTGTCCCTCCGGGGTGAGCCAGAGCCTTGGCAAGGCCCCCCCCACCCCGATACCCTTCCTCCCCTCCCTTTGTCCTTGCTGTCTAGGATTACCTGTAATGAGCAGAGAAAAGAAACAACAGCAGCCACAAAAAGCGCAATTGGAAATAAATCTGTTCATTGTGAACCTGCCCCTGCGTGGTTTTTATTGTGGGGAGGGGGGTGCTGACTTTTTATTCTGGTGAGGATCCAAAAAATACCTGTTTTCAAGGAAGGAATTAAAGAGCACGTTTCTTTTTTACAGGCATTTCTGGTGCCACTGGCACAGCCTCGAGTCCCTAATGAAAACAAAAGATGTTTGACTAGGGTATATCAGCTTTAAGTACTGCTAAGCCGTACATATTATGATTTATTTGTTCTAAGCATATATTAATATGCTCTTCCCAAACTGGGCTCAGCCAAAACAGAGGGAGTCATTAGCGCTTTGCTTTGCTGTGAGGAATGGATGGAGCGATGGATTTCTCTAGAGAGACTTCTCGGGTTTAAAAAAAGACCCCACATCTCCTTCTCCGAGGTAGTTAATGCATTAATGAGTCTAATTTTTGCACAGATGTTTCTCGGTGTTTGCAGGTTTTCTGTGTGTTTTGATATTACAAAGGAGCTGGCTCCTGCGATAGCTCAGAGCCTGACAAGCAAATAGATAATCAAGAAGACAAATGGCTCCTTTTGTGAGCCGCAGCTCTTGTATTAATTTTCATTTTCTTCCTCATAGAAAGTATCGAAAATACGGTTCAGGACGAAATAACATTCCAGTCCTAGGTTCCAAATATATAAAAACTGGACTATTGTGCTCAGGGGGGTCTGTCAGGGGTGGAATCCTCGGCACCAGCTGAAGAAAAGGGTCATTTTCTTATACTCTCCTCTCAAGGCAAAAAATGACTTTTGCTTATTTGTTCAATGCTCGTGGAATTCTCCCGGACCCCCCATCAGGACCGAAATATTCCCCCTGCATTTCTTCCCAAACAAAGGCAAGGCTTGAAATATTTCCAAGCCAGGGTGTGTGGATGGGTTATTCCTTGAGTTGTACTCAGTCACCGCACGGCCACCGCGCAAATAAAGTGTGTGTCGTCCCGTCCGTCCCCCCCCCCAGTGTCCCTGCCCCCAGCTCGAACAAAGGCCGCTCGATTTTTCTTTCTATTGACATTTTCATACTTTAAAATAATATTAATGTAGTCACATGGCACAGCTGTGATGTAGGAGAAATGGATTTATGGCTGTATTTTTGGTTTACTATGGCGGGTTTAGCAGCAGCAACTACAAACCTTTCAAGTTTCTTTCTATTTCAGCCCTTCTTTTTTTCTCAGGGAGGGTGGCAAGGGCTGTATTTTATTGCAATGCCTGAGGCTGGGGTGTTGTGGGGGTGTTGTTGCATTTTATTTTCCTGTTTCTCTCTTTGATGTGCGGGGGTTGTAAAGAGGGTGTTATTTTCGAGATAGTGCTTCTAAGAATGGCAAAAAATCGTTCTATTTTTAAAAAGAAAAAGGCATATGCTTCCAGGAATGTGGGGTCTATAGAAGCAAATCAAAGCTGGAAAGTATGAATAGAATAGAAGGGGGAGAAAAGAAGATTTCTATAGGACCTAAAAGTTCACAGCCATTAGAAGCAGACAGAAGCTAAGAAAAATGCGAGAATTATACAGAAAATCATTAATCACTTCTTTTCTTTAAATACTTATCCTTTTCCCATTGTTATTCAACAGCAAATCTCCGCAGACCGTCTGTTGGGAAAAAAGCACCCGGAGTTCTACAAGAATCTTCAGGGGAAATAATCTTATTAATAATAAAATCTGGATCGTAAAGGTGAAAGCTTTATTTTTGGGGGAGAAAAACAAAAGCAAAACATCCCCCTCTCAAAGGGATCCCCTTCCCCCAGACCTCTCACTTTGGAAGAAACCACCCAAACCATGAGGGCCGTCTCTGGGGCGTTGGAAAAAGGATGTGGGAGCGAACCAGGTAACAGAGCTGCTCTCTTGGCATGCGTTTCGGGTCTGTTTGTTGCCTCTTCCAGCAGAAAGCTGGGGAAGCACGAGGAAAAAAGGGGGAAAAAAGGAGCTCAGAAAGGAAAAAGGGCAGAAAGAAAAACAACACGTGAATGCTTGTGCGGGCTTTCCCTTCTGCTTTCTCGTTTTGTTTTGGCCGGTGTAAGCGAGGCAAGCGGCAGAGAGAGTTTCCAGGCGGGTTATTCGTGGTGAGGGATGTGTGTGGATTTCTCTTCGATGTGGGGCTGTTGCGTGTGCGGGATCGGCCCCGTGGAGCTTCGCTGCGGGGTCACTGGCGAGGGTCCATGGGGGACTACTGGAGAGGGGAGAACCCTCTTTCGTTCCTGTTTTTTCATCCCTTTTCCATCGTTTTCCCTTTTCCAAATATTTCTTTCCCTGAACAACATCTCCCGCCTGTCACGGACCGTTGTGGGGAGGGTTTAAGGGGTTTTGGGGTGCGGGGATCCCCTGGTGCGGGTGTCCCCGGGGGTCTGGGTGCTCCAGAGTGTGGGGGTTCCTGGGGATGTCTTTGTCCCGGTAGTGCCGGTGTCCCCTGGATGCTGGTTCCTGCCTCTTCCCGGTAGCGGTGTGGGAATACCGTAGTGAAGGAAAGGGCTGAAAATTGGGGAGACAAAGTCCAGCTCTGGCAAGCCCCGATCGGGGGAAGAGAGTTCAAGCAGAGGACACGTTTTCTAGGCGATTAGCTGTGTATTATAGCCAGGGAGTGACCTCGCAAACCCCTTGACCTCCCCGAGGCTGGACATTGTGCTCAGCCCGCAGCGCAGCAAAACTTTGCGTGTGCGAGGTCCCGCCGGCCTGGCCCTCACCGCGGCCTCGGGCCGTGGAAGCCGGGAACCAGCCCCGGGAGGCAGGGGTAGGGGGGGGTGGACGGGGGGACGGGAAGAGAGAAAGGAATGAAGAAGGGTCTTAGAAGTGGGGTTATTTCTGCTTTCTCACGGTTTAATGGTTCTGCTGCCCAGCCCGGGCCCGACAGACGCTTTCCCCTCTGATTTCACTTCAAAGCCCTCTGTCTTGGCGTGTTGCTTCGGAGTGAGAAAAGAGAGGGAAGGAGCGGAGCTTCCGCGCCGCGTTGGCTCTGCGAGCAGAGCCCTGGTTTACCCCGCAGACTCGGGGGGAAACAACCCCAACCCCGCAGCGCAGGAGCGGAGCCCCCCGCCCCTTCCCGCGTCTCATCTCTCTTCTTATTTTCAGAAATTCCTTTGTTTGAGAGCCCCCCCCCCCGCTTTCCCCCCGCACCTCCTCCCACTTCGCTCCTGCCCACGGCGCTCTCAAAAGCCTCTCTGTGCTCAGCTGCCTGAGCGGAGCAGCGCGGAGCGGTGCGGAGCTGTGAGGGGGGATCCCACCCGGCGGGGGGGGGGACACACACTCGGGGACCTCTCCCCCCCTTCCCGCGAGCTGGAACCCCCATTTCCTATCCCCAGCACCGGTTCGACCAGAGCTGAGCCCCTTTGTTACCCCTTAGTCGCAAAATTGGACAAAAAAGGGTGAGAAAATGCTATAACTCAACCCACTGAGTAGTTACTGGACAGAAAGGGTGCAGAGGAAGTCGAAATAAATATATATGTGTATATCTGTCTATATATGCAAGGATATGGGGGGGTCTGTTCCTATGTAGGCGCTGGTGGGTGACCGTGCACCCCCTCTATAGCTCTGAGTAGCTTTAAAAGCTCGGCGAGCGGGTTGGGAGTTTCTCAGCCCCGGTGACAGATTTATGATCCGCAATAAGAACGGCGTGTTTAAATCCGTAAATCAATCTCGCTTTCTCACTATATAAACGTTCATTTTATCTTTAGAAAGAAAACGGCTTTGATCACGGCACCTCGGAGGGTGAAGCCGCTGTTTATGGCCGCGTTTCCGACCCTTTGAACTGGGGGCTTGAAAAAAAATAAAAGAAACCCCCGAAACGGGTGCTTCTTTTGCATGAAACAAACCCAAAAATGTCAGGGGAGGTGGAGAGGGGGGTATCTGCCCCGTTTGCTGCCTGGATGACTCTGATCCTTTCCTCCCCCTCTCTTTTTTAGTGTATTTACTCGGCTCCGTTCACAGGGACTCTACCTTTTCTGACAGGGAAGAAAAAAAATAAGTGGTTGTGTGAAGCGAAAGTTACGGCTTCTGACTTGGGCTGAAGTTCCAAAATATCCCCCCCCCCCCCAAGGTTTTCTTCCTCTTGGGGATCCCTTCCCCCAGCGAGAGAACCCCCTTTGAATCGGATTTCCACCACACACACACACACCCTTGACCAAGCGTCTCTCTTCCAACAACGACTTTCACTCGATAAAATCGATTCCGAAATAATCGAGGGCTTTCGAAAATGAAGCGCTTCCCTGCTCGCTCCTTCCTGGCCGGGGGCAGCCCAGAGCCTCCCCCACAAAGCACCTTAAGCTTGGCTTAAAGGGGGACTAAAACCGCTTTTAGGCTTTTCAGATTTACGTTGATGTTAAGGCGAGCTCCCTCCAGGCTTTACCCGTGGAGGGCGGAGGGGTCCATTCCCCGTTTAGCACCCCAATGGGCTTGAAGGGGTGCTGGTGTGCTGCTGGGGGGGGGCTCTGCCCTGTGGTTCTCTGCTCTAGGACGCGCTCCTGAGGCTTTCAGGCTCCTTTCCCTATCTTCTCTTGGGTGGTGGGCTCCCTCCGTGGACTCCGAGGCCTTTCCAAGCCGCTTCCCTTTGTTGCTCATTCTTCTTCCTTTTTTTCCCCCTTTCCAGGATCCTTGTACTTGGCAGCTCTCCTCAGAGTCCAAATTTGATTTGATTTTATTTTTTTAATGCAATAAAGGCTGGCCAAACAATAACAGCAGCGGGGAGAAAAGGCCTGAAAGGGAGGGCTGAGCTCTTGCAAACCAGGAGTATAAATATTCTCAGCTGGTTTAGACTCTAAAACAGTTGTGCTATTCAGTACAAGCCTGCCATGAAAATCACAGCGTGGAGAGAGGGGAAATAAAAATAGAAAGGAAAAAAAGCACGATGTGGTTTAGCAGAAGCAAGGTCCAGCAAAGCCAAGCTGCAGGCAATGTGTAGGGAAGGGTTTAAGGGCTTTTAAGATGGGGGGATAAAGCTAAACGCGTGCCCTTGGGCAGGGCAGGGGGTTGAGGTGGGTGCCCCTGCACGGCCTCTCACCGCAGTGCCCGGCTTTGGGGAGCAGCCCTGAGGAAGAGGGGGGAAAGGGGAAAGGGGGGGCTCTGTTCACCTCGAAAAGCTTCGTTCAGTTGGAAACTTCTTTCAAACACTACTGTTCCGGTGGAAGGTCACAGTGGTCCTTTGAGTATGAAACTGCGAGACCCCCTTCCCCCTTCCCATCACGTGATTCATTAAATAATTAATGCCGAGCTTGCAGAATAGATATGTATTCGTCAGGAAAATCGCAGCCATGGACTCCTTGTGTCTGACGTGAAATTCAACTGTCCTTTAAAAAACAAGCCTAGAGCTGAGGGGAGGGGGGGTAAAAAAAAAGAGGGAGAGAAAGAGCGAGAGGGAGAGAGAGAAAGAGGGGGAGAGGAGGAGAGAGGGAGAGGAGGCTGCAATAAAACAATTCTCAGGACCCACGAAGCCACGCCGAGGGCTGGATTATTGTAAGTAGCAGGGGCTTCCCAATTCCGAGCGTGTCTATATGTCCATGTAAATTTATTGTTTGTTATTAATGTTATTGTCGTAAAATGTGACAAATCGCCGTCTTCATTTCCTCCCATTTCTCTTCACATGGCGCTATGGATGTTTATACCCATCGAGGCATTTCATTGATATTTTTAGGAATATTCCCCTCTCTCCCTCTCTCTCCTCGCAACCTCCCTTTTTTTTCCCCCTCATCCCCCTTTCTTGATTTATTACAATAAACATGTCAGCAGCAGCGCGGCTGCCATTGTGTGTGTGTTTGTGAGAGAGTTGTGTTGTTTAGAGTGGTGGCCAAGATAAATCATTTCTGGAGTGAAAATGATGTGCAAGCGATGATATTTTAGAGCGAGGATCTCTCTCTGCCCCACTCCCTGGAGTTGATGATTTCAGGCGATTTACTGTAATAGATCAGCAGCTAATATGAAAGCTCTGGAGCTGGGGGTCTTAAATTACAGAGTCTGTGATTACCAATTAAGGAGAGATTTGTATAAATTTGGGAAACCGGGAACGCCTCATTGCCATATAAACCCAGTAAAAAAGCACGACCTTAATATCAAAATCACAGCTCGGAGTCCTGTGCTGCAACATCTCTTTCTGAACGATAACTCATTTTCTCTCAACTTCCCTCTCCCCGTTCCCCGGCAGGACTCCTCGCTGGAGAACAGGCACAGGTTGCTTTAGGCAATTGCTGGAGATGCTTCTTTTTAAACCAGGCACCGAAACCGGTCTGAAATGCAACAAACTAGTTAAGAATCATTTTAAACCAAGACCAAACCAGAGCTTACCGCTGGGAGGTCGCTGCCTCGGAGAGGCGCGGATTTGGTCCCAGGCGGGAAGGGGACTTTGCCCACCAAAGGCAGAACAAAGGGGGGCTATGGGAAGTGAGGCGCTGCCGAGGGACCCAGCCCAGAGGGGTTGACCCACAGACAACAGCAGAAAGGGGCATAAGCTCCTCGCCGGTATCTCGTTGTGCTTTTGGAGTAGGAGGGTGACTTCGCGTGGCTTGCTCGGGCTAGGATGGTGATGGATGGAGAGGCAGAGAATAGAGCTCTTATGATGAGAGCTGGAGAAGGTGCTCTCAGGAATTCTCTAGCAGCCCGGGCCTGTTATTTATCTTAAGAAAAGCAGAGCTCCGAGGAGAAAGAGCACAGAAATAAGCTTAAATAGTAGCGTAACCTGGCCCTCAGCTGTTACCTTCAGAGCGATTCCTGTGCAAAACACAGCAGAGCTCTACTAGGGGAATCCCTTTCAGGCCACTAAGGTAGCGAAGCTGAAGTGTTTTGGGGACGAGATGGTGTGTCCCGAACGGGAGGCATCGGTACCTGCTCTCCTGTCAGCTCGGGGAGCGCATCCTCCACGGCAAAGGGGAGGTCGGGAGTCACCACTGCCCTCCCCTCCCGTCTCCAAACTGGACCAAATTGGTCCTACCCGGGAGTGTTGAAAGGGAAAGAGGAAGTGGGAGATCGCGTTTTTAAATATTTTACAAGCTCCAGCATGCGAGGAGTCAATAAAACTGACAACAGGAGCAAAGATTAAATGTTAGCACCGGATTCTCGAATGAGGATTCCCTGCTTTTTCCCCCTTCCTTTCTCTTTCCTCCCCTCTGCTCGCAGCCAAGTCTCACACCGCCCGAGCGGGGATATTTTACTCTGTCTGCCAGTGTAAACCTTTATGTAGCAAAATTAGAGGAACTCAGCGACTTTCATTAAATATTAAGGGAGATCCAGGGACGGTGACGGAGCCAGAAATACAGCATCATTCTCTGTCAAGCCCAGTATTAATTTAGGTTGTCGGCTTCAAATGGATGCAGACCCCCCCTTCTTCCCTCTTTTTCTTCACCCCCTTTATTTTGTTCGGTGCTGGTTTGTTTTATGTGATGGCATTCCTAATTTTTTTTTTGTTTTCTGTCTATTTGGGATGTTGAGCGTGAGAAATCGGCCCTTGGCGGGGGGCGGCTGCGGGCTCGGTGCGGAGGAGCCGCCCCGCAGCCCCCGCCCCGGCCGGCAGTCCCCTTTAAATCAATACTCGGGGCTCTATTTATCCCCGGTCCAGACGCCTTTGTGCGAGTGTCGCGCTTTAATAAGCAGATGTCAGGAGGAGATGGGGTGGCCGAGGGCCGCCGGGTCGCTCTGGCCGAACCTCCGTGCTGGGGATGCTGCCCCGACCCCGAGATCTGCTGGCCCAGCCCTGGAGGGGGGCTCGGCCCCGGGCTGGGGCTCCGCACCAGAAATAGGACCCCTGAGAAGACTTTCAGACTCGTTATGAGGCTCAGAGCCAGAACAGAAGCTCAGCTACTGGATAATAGCTCCAGAGCTCCCTTAGGAGACCCAGACCCAGCAGGTCACCCCATGACAGAGATAGGACCCCAAAACTTGGGACAAGAGCCTCCAACCTCGGAGGGGACCCCAGGTCCTGGAGGATACCTGAGGCCTGGCTAGGAGAAGGCAGAATGTTCCCCATCCTGCTCTGTCCCTGGCCGGCGGCTGGGCGGCGGGGGGGAAACATGGGTCGGGGGACCCTTAGATGATGCAAAACTTCCCTTCATGCAGGACTGGGTCTTGGGGGGGGGCACCAGCTTCATCCTCCCCAAAACACAAGTTTCTCCCCTCTGGGGTTAGCGATCACTCGAGGGAAGGGGTTTGGTTTTGGCCAGAGCTGCGAGGGGGATTCCGGAGCAGAAGCCCTTGCCCTGAGCATCCTCTGCGCATCTGCGCATCTTCCGCGCAGCCCCGCCGCCGCTGCTCTCCCAGCCTCGCTACAAATAATGAGCGAATAGCTCCTTACCATGTTTGAAACTCTTTGAAACCGAGGTTTGGGGGGGCTCTTTTCGAGAAACCAGCTATTGTACCTTAGAGTTACAAATAGCAGAAACAACGTCCAAGAGTCGGGAGGAGGCAATAAGCTATTTCAAGTCACTCAAGCAGGTTCGATTTCATTAGTTTGTGTGCAATAAGCCTTTCTCCTTGCCTGGCATCTCGTCAGAAGTCTCTGGGCTATAGGCGCTACGAATCCGTGTTTAGCACATCTCATCCCCAAAGAAATATCCCTCCCTTCCCCTCTCGGCCAGACATCCCCTATCTTTTCCCAAAGAGGAAGCTATTAACGTTGTAAATATGAGTCAACAGCACCTTAATTCATAATTTATTGCAGGCGGGAGGAGAGAGTTATTTCAGATCAAAGCATTGCTGAGGGCGAGAGCTGCAAGGCCGGGAAGGGGAGCAATAAAGGGGATAACGCGGAAACCTGGGGCTGAGGAGCGGAGAGGGCGCAGGGGCAGGGCCTGGCAGCAGCTCCCCCCCCATCCTTTTCTTTTTGTGGGTGCGTTTCCCCCGGGAAGGGGCTTCAGCCCGCCCCTGTCCCCCGGTGTCACCCCGAAACCGTCGCCGAGACCCGGGGACCTGGAGCCTATTGTGCTTCGTTTTCCTATTTCATAAGGAAACGACCCCGAGCCATGAGCAGCCAGGACAAAAGGGAAGAGCTCGGTTGCTTTTCAGTTAAATAAGCAAAAGTCTGGAAACGGGGACTGTTTTCTTTGAAGTTTTATCTCTTTTTTATTTTTAGTGGGGAAGAGGGAGGAGGCGAAAGAAATAAAAGGCGACAACCACATTTCAACACTTCCCTGCCCGTAACCATCCCAGCTGAAAAGGGAGGCTATAAATCAGAGGCAATGGTGGAGATTTGACTCCTTATTTTAGCGTAGATACAAGGGGAGGGGTTAAGGAGAAATCCCCACTCGTTGCTATTTCGTCTCCTTTTGATGTCCGAGTCCGTACGAAATATATCGATGCTTTATTGGCAGCGGTATTGAGAGGTCAGGAGAGAAGCCTCAAAAACTTCGGGTCAAATTCTTTCCGAGCATGTCCCGGTGAAGTCGATGGGGAGCCTCAAACCACAGCCTCTGTGCTGAGGGGGGACTGGGAGAGGAACCGGGTCCCCCCTCCCTGAACCCCTTTCCCACCACCTTACCCGGACTCTACGAGCCCATCACCTGCCCGGGTGCTGGGCGCCGTGGGGTGATGATGATGCTGGTGGTGGTGGTTTTTAGGAGGGGAGGGTTTGCATCTTCCCGTTCCCCCCGGTTCTGGGGAGCCGTGGCACGCTGCGCACTTTCGCCAGCACGCAGATCCAGATTTCCTCTCCTCGCGCTGAGGTCAGCTACAGAAAAGCCAAGTCTAAAAATAACTCCCAGGATCTGGTTTGTTGCTACTGGTACCTCAACACTCCCTGCGCTTCAAACGCGAGAGTGCAAACTATTCCTTGGAAAAGGGCAAGATTTAATGGCAGGGTATTGCTGGGAAGGGTGGGAGCGAGAAAAAGTATTAAACCCGATGAGCTTTGCACAACTTCTATTCCCCCCCTTTCTTTCCCTCTCTTTCCTTCTTTCTATCCTTCATTTTTTCCCCTTTCCCCGGCCGAGACATATGGAATCAATTTTGAATCCTGACATTGAAGGCTGGCCAATTCCTACTGGCTCTGAAAACCAGAATCCATTTGGTTCCCTTCTCTCCAGCACCCCTTGTCACTCAGTATTACAACCGTCTTGCAACATTTTAAGTCTTTATAAAGAGAAACAGCTTTCCAGAGAGATACGAAGGAGTCAGGAGTGGGGGAGGTTTTTGGGGGCGCCTTTCCTTTTCTTTTTCCTAAAGGGAACGTGCTCTCGCCCCCCCCTCCCGGCACCCCCATCCCACCCCGCTCAGCTCGGTATCTCTGCAAAGGGGGGCAGCATCCTTGCAATCCTTAAAGCTGTTTCGGAGGAGTTTCTATTTTTCTCCAGGTCAAGTCCGTTCCTTTTGAATCGAGGGAGTAAAAAAAAAAAAAAAAAAAGAGAAATAATTCAAAAACCAAAGCATCTTTAGGGAAACTAAATTCCAAATCGTCCGGGAAAGCCGTCAGCAAGATCCTTCCTCCGGGGTGCAATAAAGTAGTTGCTTCTCCTTAATTTGCCTGCTCCAGTTGCGAACTCGCCCCATCCGATCCGGCTTCGCTCCTTCTTCTTGAAGTCCTGGGTCGGACAGTCTCACAGGTAAGGAGTTCCAAACAAATAAATAAAGGAATGGTGCTGCTCTGCCTTTCCTCCCTTCTCCGGCGCTCTGAGATGTAATGAATTGCTCCGAGAGCTTTGACAGGCTTCTCCCCCGCTCTCCGCGAGCTGTAGCTGACTTTCTGCCGCTCACAAATTAAGACTGATGCTTCGGGAGCGGGAGAGCTGGGGATGAGCAAAAAAAGACCTCGCAGGGTCCATAACGGGGACCGGCCGCAATCCGCTTCTGTCCGAGGGTGTGATTCCTTGCGAAGTTTGTCTGGGACGCATTTGGTAAAGGTTTAGCACCTCTCTCTTGTTTGAAAAAGAAACTACAAAAGCCCATTGGAAACGCGGGTGTTAAACTGAAGAATGTTTGTGATGGTGATTTATGGCCCTACCAAGTTTTTTGTTTACTTGAAGCAGACCCTCATTACAGGGGCTTCTAAAACAGAAAGCCCTCCCCCCCACCCCGAAAAGAAGCTTTCCCAAGCTCTGTGTATGTCCATAGCGGGTTTTCCCTCCCCAGGTCTGGGTGGAGTGGCCAGATGTGACCAACAAACATCTGGTTCATTGAGCTGCTGTTCCTTTTAGCCGAGCCGTGCGTTTGACCGCAATGGGTAAGAAGGAGACTTCCATATTAAAGAGGCGGCTTCTGGGGTGTCCGAGCATGAAAATATCAGGGGTTTAAAGAGGTTCGATGTTTGCTTGGGTTGGGGATAGGGAAAGAATGGCATCCAAAATGGGTCATTCCGCTCAAATGCGGTGTCTGGGATCGAAGAGGATGGGCGGGGGGGGGGGGGTGAGATTACGCGTGGGAATCTCGGATGCGTTATTTACTATCGGTTTGTGCTGTTCGGTTGTGGCTGCTCCCCCTCCATCCTGCCCGGTGAACCCCCGATGGGTATTTTAAGAGCGAGACAGGAGAATCGTTTGTATGCAGGAAAAAAAAAAAAAAAAAGAAACACGAGAAATGGGGTTAAATCTGGAAAGTTGGTTTTTTTTTTCCGCTTTAAATACATACATAATCGTGCTCTGTTCTCCCTTGGTTCCTCTCCCTTTAGAGCGACATCATAACTTCATCCTCGGGACAAGTTGCCAGGTCTAAAAATACTCTCTTAGATTGGGAAACTGGGAAAGTTTTGACTCAGTGGCTGATATTTCCCGAGGCGAGCTGCGATATTGGCAGAGCAGGAGCTCAGCTACACAGACAGCTTCTTTATTTTATTCTTTTCCTTTTTGTTGTTGTTTTTGCCCTATTTTTTTCCCTCCTGAAAATTGCTTTGCATTAAATTTCCTCAGCTCCAGATTTCTCTTTACTCGCCTCCAGCTAAAGTTGGGTGTTTTTACCAACCGCTTGATCTGTTGGCGAATGAAATCTGAGAAGAAACCGCAGGCCCTGAGTGACCGTAATTTAATTGATTTTATCATAAATCATCAACTTCATGAAGAAGCAAAGTTTTCATTGAAGTAAATTGATATTAATGGACACTTTCTGAAATGTAACCGTATAGATCTATAGGGTTGTGCTCTTCTCACTTCTGCTCTTTTGGGACAGCGGATTTTAGGGGGATGGTGGGGGTATTTTTCTTCCTAGTTTTCTTTTCTCTCATTCTTCCTAAAAAGCGACTTATTCTCAGCTCGTTGTTGGGGGGGGGGGCGGCTCAGATTTGCTTTGTGAGTGAATCCGGCAGCACCGAGATGTGGGAGAAAAGAGCAAGGAATAGTTTGGTTTCTCTGTGATATTAATCAGAGTACTCCCCTAGGCGGGTTATTCCCTCTGCCCAGTGCTTTGGTGGGCGCAGAGCGGGGATATCTCTGCCCAAAATCCGTGTGTCCCAGCTCGGCCCCGCAGCACTCGCAGCCGTGGTAAAAGCTCGGACTGAAATAGGACTTCAAACCCCCTCTTTCACCTCCGTGCCCTCTCCTGCGTTAAACATTGCCGTTCCCCAAACTTTCCCGCCCCATTAAAAATTAACCCGGGGTGGGTGGGAGCCCTTTGATGGGGGTGAGGAGGTGGCGTTGGGAGCAGCCTGCAGCTCCCGAGGGGTTATAGCAAGGGGCAGCACCTCGGGGTGCGCCGGTGTTTTGGGGGGGGGTGTGCAGGGAGGCGTCAGGGAGGATGCAGGACTCCGTGGGATCCACGCGCTTCCCTACAGACCATAAATATTCCTCGTGAGCATCCCACAGTAGAGAAATAGAATTCCTTGCCACCGCTTCTTTCTCCCTCTCCGGCGAGTTCCTCTTCAGAATTTGTTAGTCTTTCTGCATTCTCAGAAGGAAGCAGGCACAATGGAGCTCGTTCCTTCTCCCAGGTCCCTTCTTCCCCATGCCCAGCTTCTTCTCCAGCGTCAGCCGGGGCCAGGAATGAGGCGAGTATCCCTGTAAAAAACAAAACAACCGAATTCCTTCCTTTTCTCATAGAAATGGCCACGATGGGAGCGTGGTACCTGGTCCTGCGGGAGGCTAAGGAAAGGCAATGGGAGAAAAGCTCCAAATCCCCATTTTCTCCTTCTCTTTCTTATATATTGGTGATTTTTTTGGAGGGGGGGAAGGGGGAACGGAGTGGGAATAAACGGGAAGCCCCCGAGGAACCTCATCTTAGGGGCCAGGCGAGTCGCCGTGGAGGGAGAAGCCCATCCTCGGGGCCTCGGGGAGGCTGAGAAGCCCTTCTCGGTTTTTCCTGCTCCCCCAGACCCGTTACTTTCCCCCTCCGTTTCCGTCGTCTTTGCCGTGGGGCTGGATGCTGAGGCTGCGGGAGCGGTGGGTGCTGCCGGTCTCTTTCCTCACCTATAGCGATTGTTCGCCTCCAGGTTAAAAGATAAAAAGGAAAACTGGTAGGAAAAAATCAAAGGAGAAGGCACCCAGAGCCCCCCAAGGGCCGGGCAGCCCCCGGGAGCGGGGGCACCTCCTGCCAGGGAGCTCCAGGGAATTTGCTGATGGTGGAATTAGCGGGACCGGAGGGGGAAGCCGGGAATTTCCCAATTCTGGGGAAAATAGGCAAAAGGTTGACGTGTCCCAGTCACGTGGGCGCATAATTCAAGCCATTATTTTGGCATTTGGGAGGGAGGAGGGAGAAGAGAGAGAAGAAAAGTGGCGACGGTGATTCCCGGTTCCCAGCCCGTCTCCGGTGCGCTGCCCCCCAAAGAGCTGTTTGCAACACGCTCATCCCCCAAACTGGTGTCCCCACGAGCCCTCCCGTACCCCCCAACCCCACCGCACCCCGTGGGAGCAAGGAGAGGTGGACCCATGGGAGCGGGGGCGCTGCGGGGCGGGGGGGAGCCTCAAGGGCCTCTGGCTTGATTTGGTTTTGGGTTTTGTTTTTGCTTTTTTGGAGACAATTCCAAAGCACTTCCGCTGATTGATCATTAACCTGGTGAGTTATTGCTCGTCTAAGCAAAGGTCAGGGGGAGAAAAAGGTCTAATCTGTCAAGGCAAAGCCAGCGCTCGCTCAGTTTCAGTTTGATTTCTTATCCGGGCTGGCTTCTGTTCGAGGTTTCAGGAGGTCCTGCACCCTCCATAGCTCTCGCCTCCTGCTCGGAACTCTGCCCGCCCTCGGGCTCAGTGTCTGGGGAATGGGAAAACCCAAACTCCTTCCCTTCAGACTAAATAAAGAGCCGAGGGAGGAGGAGCGGCCCCGCGGAGCATCCGCGGGTGCGGAGCAGGGGCCGGGCGGGACTTGCGCCGCCTCCAAGAGAAAATGAACAGAGAAAAGCCCCCAAATCAAAACAAAGAACACGGGGGAGTGGAGGCGGGGGGGAACACCCTCGCTCCATCCCTTCTCTTGCCTGCGCTGCCAGGGAATATATGAAAAACAAAGAAACCACCAACTCCCCCCCCCCCGCCCTCCGCGCTGGAGCCGTTGTTGATTCCAGCTTCTCCGGGGTTGTTTATTTGTTTCTCTTTTTGCCTCATCCCTCCTGCATCCACTTCCAAATAAACGCCGTTTTCCCTCTCTTTCCCACCTCTTCCCTGCCCTCTTCTCCTCTTCCTCCCTGCCCGGAACTTGCTGAAAACAGCCTGAGCTCACAGCGCAGAAAAAGCTTTTCCTTTCCTTCTTTTTCCTTTTCCCCTCTTTCCAAACCTCTGTGCGTGCTCTACAGAGGGAACCGAAAAGCCCAGGGAGGGCTGGGATGTAAGTGGAATATTGCCAGAGCTGGGTACTAAACTGTGAGCCCATGTAATAATAACAGTAATAAAACCTCCAGCTTTAGGCCGCCGAGCAGAGCAGGTCACGAAGCATCAGCGGAGGATTTATGGACTCGGGGATGTGGTCACGAGCAGAATAGGGGTGTGAGGGGAACATTTTTATTCGAGATTAGTAACATCAACATACAGAACGGAAACGGGATTATTAAGGCATTGGAATGTTTCCCTAAACGAAAATATTGTTAAATTAGATTGTTTTGTCTTTCTCCTTTTCTTTCTTCCTTCCCGAATCCTTCGTGCCAAAGTTGTGGCCATAAATCTCGGCGTGGCTTTCAAGATATTTACGTCTCCAAACCGTTAATTCTGATACCGAATCACTGCCCCTCTGGCCTCGTACACTGCAGCGCGTCTCCATCCTCCCCCCTCCCTTCGTGGCGATCCCTCCACCACACTCAAGAAACACCAAAACCCCCATTCTGTATCTTTCAGGCTTTGCTGCCTCTTCTATTTTCTCTACTGTTACATTGATGTTGAACCCAGAGCTATTTAACTGCAGATATTTAATCTCTTAAACGCATTTAACCCTGAAAATATCACCAGAATTTAACCCAAACCCTTCCCAATGTATATATATTTGAAATGGCATCTGGAGTTCACCACCAGCCGTAAGCAAACCGCCCCTGGTCCACACCAAACGCTTCCATCACACGCGAACCCCAGAGCGGGAGAAGCGTTTCCTTCGGGGGGTTGTAAAGGGCGAGGAAGGACCGGAGGGAGCGCAGGGGTTTACCGAAATAACCCTGGTGCCGGGATGAGGATATCGGGTCCTGGAAATGCCGGTGACTGGGGTGGGTGATAATGCCAGAGGAACTGCTGGGGCTTTTGTTCACCAGAGCCCGTCTTCTCCCCTTTTCCACGCAAAGGTTCCTCTGGATGATGAAGCCCCTCGTTTCTCACCGAAGTTTCATACTTTGTTTTCTCTCCTTCCCCCTCCCCAGCTCTCCTCCTTTCCCAAAGCCCGCCACTGCCTCGGCTTTGCTGGACCAGACGTTCCACAACCGGTGAGTTTGGCTCAATATCCAACCTGTGCGTGTCTCTGTGTCTCCCTTCATTCCTTCTCTGAGGGCACCCAAAGTGAATCCCCCTCCTGTCCCATCCAGTCCCGTCCCTCTCCCCCACCGCCAGGATAAGCAGGGCTGCCCTGGAATTCACCGGACTATTTTCATTTTGCTACTGGCTTGTCCTTAAACTTGTGATTTATGAGCGTAACTTCGAGGGAGTGTTTTAAATTGAAGATATTTCCTGTACTCCCTTTGAAGGGAAATCCAGGCAGATTGCAACATTTGCTGCTGATTTCGGGATGAGGGCGAGGGAGTTACATCTTAAAGAAAAATAAGCTGCAACCAAAGCAAAGATGCCAAAGGGAGCCTAAAAACTGCGCTTGCAGGAGCTCAACATCTAAACGTGCAAAGACCTTCTAAAAGGTGGTTTTTTTTTGGCTGCCAGTTAAAATTAAAGCACGGTTTCGCACTTCAGAGGAATTATCTCCAGTATTGGAGGGACTTCTGGTTGTTTGGGCACTCCCAGTTAGTCAGTGGAGATCCAGATTCAGAAACCTAGAGAGTATTTTACCTACTGAGAAGTCTTTAAAAGAATAGTCCACTACTGGTTTTCATCCTTCCTTCCCTGAAATGTCAGCGCCGGGGCTCCAGAGTAAGAATTGGCTTGAAGGAGAAGATTTATGTTGGAGTAGTTCATGAAAAGTTTAAATAGGGGGAAAAATAATGGTGTCCGCCGGTGGAAAGCTCCCTCCCAGCAGAACAATAGCTGGAAACACCGCGGTCCGTGGAGCAGGACTTTATCCATCACCTAGAAACCCTCGAGTAAGTCCTCTCAAAAGTCAAGTGTTTCCTGGGGCACGCTTCTTTTTCTTCCTGGAGTTCTCAGCTTAAAGGTGCACACACAGACACAAAAACCCCCAAACCAACCCCCCCCCCGCCCCCGACGGGCCGTCCCTTCGCGGCGAGGTCCGAGGAGCCTTTTGTGATCCCACTTTTTCCTGCTTTGCTAATTGTAAATTCCCCCCCGTCAGCACTTAAGCCAAAGGAGCGAGCGCCAGAATTAAAGGAGGGGAGAGAACTGCGATGGGGAACAAAAGTAGCACTTAAAGAAGAAAAGAACAAAAATAAAGAAAGGAAAGTGCAGACACCTCCATTCCTCCCCGCCTTCCTCCCCCCTCGCAGCTCCTCCTCATCACGGGCTTTCCCCAAAACGCGAGTTTCTGCTCTCGCAGCCGCGTGGGAACGGGGAACGCGTAAATCTCCTGTGGCGGCAGCGCCTCGCTGGCAGCAACGGCCTTATTAAATAATAGCAATAATAATCATCTTTATGGCTCAACACCTCGCTGCTCTGGCCTCCCCCGGGGGTAGTTTGAGCCCCGACACCCCCCTTCCCCCCCCCCCCATAAACCCCACACCTCCACCCTGGCGGAAGCCGGGGGGAGCCCCCAAGACGCGGGGACGCGCAAAGTTAACGCCGAAGTTACGCGGGGCCTCGGAGTTGCAGCAACACGAGCGGTTCCCCCTTTTCTCCCCCTCCCTTGCAACCCACGGCTCCCGAGGCTTCCGTCCATGTGTCCCCCCCCTCGATCCCCAGAAAAGGGGGTTCGGGGGGTTCGCGGCTAAACGCCACCGAGGGATCGGGGGGACACAGCGGGGGGGGGAGTGGAGGGGGGGGACATGCTATGATTATGTTATTAGCATGAATCGACGCCTAACTGGGGAGCACGTGAAGCCGCGGCCAGGTCCGCGCCCGCGCCCAGGCCGCCGGTCACCGCCGCTGCCATTAGCATCGTTCTTCACTAGTGACGCTGTTCGGGAGGCTCCTTGGCTCTTCCCGGCAATCCAAACCAAATCTTGGGGTTTAAAAACAGCCCCCCCCCCCCCCCCCCCCCGGCTTTATCCCCCCTTTTCCCCTCCTTCTGTAGCCTGGATTCTTTGCGTTATTATTTTAATCCCAGCCAAGCATTGCATAGTTAAAAGAGGGGGGGTGGGGGTGGTTGTGTTCAGCTTTTCTTTCTTTCTTTTTTTTTTCCCCTTCTCCTTTCCCTTCTTCCCCTTTGCTGTGGAAAGCAGAGGCCATTGTTATCAGTGAGCAGCGCGTACCAGCTATAGGGCAACTCGAATCTCAGGGTCTGGCCATTCAAAGCCCTCAGCACATCTTGGAAGCTGGAAAGCATCTTGATTTTTTTATTCCCCCCCCTCCCCTTCTCTTCCCAAACGGAGACAGAGAGACAATTTGAGCTGTCGTAACCGAAAGCTCCACTGGCTGAGCCCCCTCCCCCTCTGTTTGGGCTTTTTTTTTTATCCATATATACATGCATATGCTGGATTTTGTTCCTCTCTCGCTCGTATATTCCTTTAACGCTTTTAAAGGAAGGGGGTCATTCCTTGCTTATTGATTGCGTGGATGCTGGATGTGAAAATATATTATGTCTGCCTGTGCTTTGCTCGTCAGAGACTAAGGTAAGCCGGACTCAAATAGGCTATCACTTTGTGAATGGCGGAGTATATGTCCCAATGATTTATGACCATATGACTCCAATCTCGGTTCAAGAAGAGTTCACAAGCTTTAAGCTTCCTTCCACGCAGAGGCTCCTTCGCAGCCCTCATCCAGGGCCCTTTTCCCCCCCGCTTTACAACTGGGGAGTTCTGGCTGGGGTGAAGCTCGGTTGTGGGGGAGGGAAGAGGGAAATTTTAGGAATGTGTCTCTATTTTGCAGGCATATCCAGCGCCAAGGCAGGGGCTGGGGTCTGAGCTCTTCCTGAGCAGCCGCCCTATTGTTAGGGGCATGTTTGGAATATTTATTATTAATAATAATTGAAATGAAAAGCGGGGCTCTGCCTGGTTTCGCTGGCGCTGGGAAATGTACCTTGGGAGGGGGCGGGGGAGGGGAAAGGCGCTGCTCTTCCTCCTCAGCACAGGCAGGTTGTGAATTTGGGGGTTCCAACATGGAGGGGATGGCGTTAACACCAGAATGCCTCTGCCTCGGACTCCTCTTCCCTTTTGCCTTCGACCGCCGGATTTTGCCTCCTGAGCATCCTCCTCCCCGCAGCCCTCTCGCACCTTCCCTTCGATTTTTCTTCTTTTTCTCCTCTTTTCTCGTCTTTTGATTTGGTTTGGTTTGGTTTTTTTTTTTATCGCCTCCAAACCCTCGCACTCCGAAGTTGCCGGCAAAGAGTTTGCGTTAAACGCTACCGCTCGCAAAAGTGAAACTTGGAGCGTGAGGAAAAGCGGCAGCGCGGATCCCACCCGGCTTTAACCGCACCAGGAGATAATCGAATATTTATTATTCTGCCTGAGATGTGCTTTTTTTTTTTTAAGCAATTCCTTGGAGTAAATAATTAGGATCGCGCCGTCCCCGGCGAAGATAAATGAGCGGCATTTGCGAGGCGCTGAGAGATGAGGTACAAAAGCAAAGCTGTGGAAGCCACGAGCGAGCTTTTGGGCGAAGGGGGTTGTAAATTTATTTTATGGACATGAAAAAAAAAACCCACCACACACCAAAAAAAAAAAAAAAAGACAACAAAAACCCCAGCTATCGTCGCTGTTATTTTTAGCTGCTTTAGCTCAGCCTCTCGGCTCGGTTTGGTTGGGATTTGGTGTTTTTTTTTTAACAAACCTATGCCAGACAGGAAGGGCCTTGGAGAAATTCCCACCTCTGGCCTCGTAGATATTTTCAGCGAAGCTATTCATAAGAAAGGCGCTGCTGTTGCTTAATTCATTCCCAGCTCGAGCTCGGGGAGTGCAGTCTACTTTTTAATAAGACATATTTATCATGGCGAGGAAAACAAACGCGAGTAACTCCCCGTCCCCTCGCTAGACAATAATGCATCTCCGTGGAAGACACTACACGGATCTGGGAATGCAGAAAGGATTGAATCCGTGCAGAAAAGCAAAGCAGCTCCTCCGTGGCCACATCTTCGGAGACTGTGAGGGAAGTACACGGAGGTTTCATATGACATGACAGAAGAACAGAGCAGTCAGGGAAGGGGAAAAAAAGATGTTATTTATTGTCAAGCTGTGGCTTCTGTTAAACCCCGGTACTTAGAAATATCGCATCAGGCTTTATCTCCACTGAGTTTATTCTATTTTATTTTAGAGAATGAAAGAGCCCCGATAAAATTAAATATACAAGAGATAGAATTAAATATACAGTGGGTATCAATTTCCAAACAGAATGCACGGGGGTTCCTCGCAGCTCTGAGCTGCGGGGAGAAGCCTCTGCCTTTGTAAAATATGTGAGCTGCTGACTGAGCCTCACACATCGGCTTGTTTCCAGGGCAAGATAGTTTTCATATTTCCAAGGGTATTTCCACTCTGTCTTTATGGTCAAGGAAAGTTTATGCTTTGAGAAAAGACAGAGGAAAAGATCAAGAAAATGAAAAGGGCGAGGAAGCAAAAAGGAAGGTTTCATTTTGTAATTTGAGGCTTTGGACTGGGGTTTTTTAGACTTTTGAGCTTAGACTGAGGGAGGGAGGAACAATACAAAATCAAAGGGAGGAAAGTTAGGAGCAAATGGCCTGGTGATGTGTCTGTTTTCCAAGGGAAAAGAAAAAAGAAAAACCCCAAACCCAACAGCAATTAAACTGGTTTTGGAATCGCATCTTACCAACGGCAGCTCCGGGTTAGGACGGATGAGCACAAAGCAGAGCAGGCGCTGAAGGGCTGTGTTTTCTAAATACAACCTGTGCTGCCAGAGAGGGGGAGGCTATCAAACAGGCCAAAGGAGGCACATTCTTGAATTCATGCCCCGTTTAAATCTGCTTGAAATATTTGCACTGAATTCCAAAGACATTTGTGAGTTCCTGTGTAAACAGCAAATGAAGCCAACTGTGTCAGGACACCCGTTACCTGCAGAAAACATAGTGACTATTTGCTGGTTTCAGTTTAAAACTGGTTTCAGTTTAAACCAGACTATTTGCTGGTTTCAGTTTGAGGCCCTGCAATCAACTTAGCAGACTTTTAATTTCTGATGTTATAAGGCCTTGCTGGTTTTTCTCTGTGTGAATGGCTGATTTGAATAGGTCAGGGGTAAGAAAGCAAGACTTCATTCCTTTCATGCTTGGAGCCAGCAATTATCCATTCTGTACTCTCAGATTTACATTAACGTGGGTGCTCTCTGAACATGGACGTGTGGATGTGCACGATACTATATGCATACACACACACACATTTAGATGGGAGTGCATGTGTAAGCATGGTGTGTGTGCATATATGTATATAGAGAAATAGAGAAGTAAATAGATGTATACAGCGGAAACCACGTGTACTCGTAGAGCATGTGTGTAGTCACACATCCTGGGGGCTATTCTCCCAGGGAAAAAAGGGTGCAAGCAAGGAAGCAACCAAGTAGGAAAACTACCCTCCAAAATGAGCTCAGCACTCCTGCACAGTAACATTTGTTGAGCCTCCTTAGGCTGCGCACAGGACAAAATCTGCTCAAAGCATCTGTTCGGCCTGTTCGGCGGGACCCTATTCATGTCATGGGCCTTTCAGGCTCCAAGATGGATTCATAGGCTGGGTACTATTATTGTGTGTTTTCTCCTAACCTTTCAGGTCAGCTTCCAATAGACAGCTGGAAACGGCCTGTCACGTGGCCTTGGGGTGCCAATGTTCTGCCATAGGGGTGTCAAGACCCTGGTAGCTGGAAAAATCATTTTGGGGAGTCCCAGAGATGCAGAAGACAACGTACTACGACAGCTCCACGCTCTTTGGGGGTTACTCCTATGGGAGTGCCAATGGCTTCGGCTACGAGGGTGCCCAGCAGTCCTTCCAGCCGGCCTCTCACATGGAGAGCGACTACCAGAGGTCCGCCTGCTCCCTCCAGTCTCTTGGCAACACAACCCCGCATGCAAAAAGTAAAGACCTGAATGGAAGCTGCATGCGTCCAAGTTTGCCCCAGGAGCACCACCCGCCTCCCCCCATCTCGCCGCCCCCAAACCCTGCCACCAACAGCACCAGTAACAGCAGCAATAACCAGTCTGGGAGCAGTAAAAGTGCCCCCAGCAAAGCCAACCTCAGTGCAAACGCCAGTCTCACCAAGCAGATTTTCCCCTGGATGAAAGAATCCAGGCAAAACTCCAAACAGAAAACCAGCTCCCCTAGCACAGGTATATGGCTCTGCTTTCCTAAACAGTGAGGGGACACAGCCACTGGGTGCAGTGGTCTGGTTTGGAGGGAGGGGAGAGGATCCAGTGAGGATCCCGGTGTTGGGCATGATCCCAAAACTGCCAGCCACATGCCCTGGTCAGGCCAGGAGAGCCTTGGCTTGCCCTGCAGCACTGACTGTGCACACTTGGTTCATTTTCAACACATCCAGAGCACTGCAGGGAGATACAACCAGCAGTTGTACACCGCCGATGTCTGACTGTGTACGGACAGATACATGGAAATGTCCACCCACTGCTTGGCCCAGTGATGATAAAGCAGAGTGCTTGTTCTCTTCCCACCTTCCTGCCCCTAGACACAGCAGTAAACATGATGCCCTCAGTGTATGTGTGCGTGTATAGGGCATGAGCACAAACATGTGTGTATTTTGCATGCATTCATGTGCATCTCTAACACGAGAGGGAAAACAATCAGTAGAGAAATATCACTGTTTTGAGCAACAAATTCATCTGAGCTTTGCTGCACGCACTTCGCTCTACATGAGTATAATTTATGTGGTTTATACATGCTTATCTCAGAGAAAGGTAGGTACAAACGCCATCTTTTAAGGGCGTTCATGCAAATATTTGGGTTACTCAACTGCAAGACATACACAAGATGTGTGTGTGCGCATTTGCACCTAGCAAACACAATTCCTCTCCACACTGCCCCGTGTTAGTATTAATGGGCTTTGCAGTCACTGCCCCCCTGCCAAATATTATTTTCTCCAAATTATCTGTTGGAAATAATCGACTCCTAAATAAATGGCCCTGGAATCCTTTTCTCCATGACATGATCAAATTTTCATAAACCAGGGGCAGCTTTGGAGAACAGAACTCTTAATAAATGACATGATTATGGAGTGCAGGCTAATGCGAAAGGGTGATGGAAGGGGGGGGGGTTTGAACTCTTGTGCCTGTTCCAGGATTTATTAAGAAACGATGCATTCAATTGCTGCATGTAAGTAATTATCTTTGATTTCATTTTGTGGCCAGCAGAAACCTGCAGCAGCGAGAAAAGCCCTCCAGGCTCCTCGGCCTCCAAGAGAGCCCGCACAGCCTACACCAGTGCTCAGCTGGTGGAGCTGGAGAAGGAATTCCACTTCAACCGCTACCTGTGCCGGCCCCGCCGCGTGGAGATGGCCAACCTGCTGAACCTCAGCGAGAGGCAGATCAAGATCTGGTTCCAGAACAGAAGGATGAAGTACAAGAAAGATCAGAAGTCAAAAGGCATGGGGTCTTCTTCTGGAGGGCCTTCCCCCACCGGCAGCCCGCCCCAGCCCATGCAGTCCTCTGCTGGATTTATGAATGCCTTGCACACCATGAGCAGTAACTATGATGCCCCCTCGCCACCTTCCTTCAATAAACCCCACCAAAATGCCTATGCCATGTCAACTAACTACCAAAACCCCATCAAAGGCTGCCCCTCCCAACAGAAATACGCCAACACGGCCCCCGAGTATGACCCCCATGTCTTACAAGGGAACGGGGTGGCCTACGGGACACCCAATATGCAGGGAAGCCCCGTCTATGTTGGAGGTAACTATGTGGATTCTATGCCCACCTCTGGCCCATCCCTTTATGGCCTCAATCACCTGCCACATCCCCAGGCCACCAACATGGACTACAATGGGCCTCCCCAGATGCCCCCGAGCCAGCACCACGGACCATGTGAGACCCACCCCACCTACACAGACCTTTCCACGCACCACGCTTCTTCTCAGGGCAGAATCCAAGAGGCGCCCAAGTTGACCCACCTGTGATAGGGAGCAGGGGCAGGCTCAGGCAAAGTGGATGGGACCCCACCATGGGGCATGGGAGAGGGGAAGAGGGTGGAATCGGCTTCAGGAACATTTGTGTTGAGCTATTTTCTTTCTTTCTTTGACAGGGCAACTTCTACTAGCTTGTTGTGCTTGTTATTATTATCGCTGGGTTTATTAGGCACAATTTCCAAGCATTTCAGTAGCTCTCTCTCTGAAGAGATATACCTCCTGTGTTTCAGCACAAATGCTTCTGAAGTGGATGTAGGGTAGTTTTATGGGAATCTAGCCAATTTCAAGCAGCAACGTCCTTCATTTCCAATCCAAGCATAGATCGTCATTGATAATTTTTGGACATTGGAAAGGAGAATGGTCAGGAGTCAGGTCTTTATGGTTGATGTCTCTGCATCTGCATCAACATGCACAAGTGTATAGATATGCAATCAAGAGAGATTCACAAGAAAACTACCCTCTTCTTGACTCCTCAAGAGGAACCTCGTGCTTTTCCTTCCCAGCCCGATGAGGAAGGGCACCGAGTAACTTCCCACCAGTCACCACATAAACTGCAAATATACAAACCTGCCAACGCCTGGGATTCATGCTCTTCCCCTCCAGCCCCTGCCTCCCCTCTCAATAATAACAATAATCAGCATCAAATTAGAATAAGGGAGGTCTAAGTATTGCAAAAGGTTCGGGAAACAAGGGTTTTGAAATGCCTCAACCCCCCAACAATAACAGCAGTCCAAAGAGAGGAAGAAAGAGTTGACAGGTCTGAATATTTTCCCACCTTTGCCTCTAGATGACATGAAGTCTCTGTTCAACAGTGTTGGGTTTGTTTTTGTTTGGGGGTATTTTTCTTAGGGTTCCTAAACAGAAAAGCAATCTTAAGACTCAGAAGTCCTACACTTCTTTCCTCCTCTTCTCTTGACCTTACGTGAAAACAGGGTATATTTGAACAAATGGAATGTCCTCCCATCGAAGCAGAAGTGAATGGATCTCTAGTATTTGCTAATGCTTTCTTGTCTGGACATCTTTGTTGCACTTAGAGTTTACATATAATGGGTATAAAAACAACTTTGAAGGGCTTTCGTCCAACTCAGTCGAGATGCCCTTCAATAGGTGTGTGTTCTGGTGAACATTCATATATATTTATTGGTTATAGCCAGTTTAAAATATTTTCCTTTTTTTTGGTATTATTTATCCACAATATTACGTATTTATATGAGGAAAAAAAAAAAGAAAAACAAACAAAAAAAAAGAAGGAATCAAATTGTACTTTTTTAGTATTTACTTGTTCTAAAGGACATTGTGTTTCCTTGTCATTGTACAACAAGCTTATTTTAGTTATTGTAATTTAGGAAGACCAGTAGTTTTATGTTACCTTCGTACTTATGAATAATGTAATTAGTTCTACTGGAGGCATGAGAGCAGAACCAGCCTGTAATTGTATAGTCCTGAATTAGAACTATAGCTAATCCCTCCCTCCCACCTCACCCCGCCTCTTCCGAGCTCTTTCTTTGTTCTTACAGTAGTTATTTTGTTTCCTTGCTAAGGGTTGTCTGTTGAACAATTCTTGAATAAACTTTCTGTTATCAATTTTATCTCGTCCTCTCGCTGGGATTTAAAGGAGAAAAGGAACCACGTGGATGTGAAAACAGCGAGGAGAAGGCGAGGATGGGGTCTGGGCAGCGGTCCTGGCTCCGGGTCCCCTCCTGGGGTGAGAACCCGAGGGTCTGAGCTAAGCGTGGCCCTTGCGCGGTCCCTGCGCGGTCCCTGCGCGGCCCGGCCCGCTCCCGCGGCCACAAAGAGGGTCACGTGGTGCCGGGGCCGGGCTGCCATTGGGCCGCAAATGAAAACAAAGGAAAAAGGATTAATGACAGAAAACGCAAGATAAAGGGCGCAGAGTTCCCATGCGGGGCCCTTGAAATCCCATTCCCGGTTAGGATTCAGAGCTATTGAAATACACGCACATGTGCGCACAAGCGCGTAGACACATGCACACGTATGTACACACGCACGCACACCGACAGCCTCTCCACCCCCCTGTACTAACACACGCCTTTGCAATTGCTATTAAAGGGGAGAAAAAAAGCCCGCTACCAAATGTTACGTTATCAGTGGGAGCAAAAGGGATTCTGCCCCTCCACCAGCAGCAGAAGCAGATGGGATAATACCGTGAATAATTTGCCTTTTATGCTCTAAAGCCCCAAGAAAACTTACGTTAAAAGAGCGAAGGGGCAATAAAAGTTTTTATGATGGTTCTGGAAGGGGTGAACTGCTCGCTGAGGACCAGGATGAGGGGGAGGTCCCCCCGAGGGAAGCAGAGGGGAATGTGGGTTGCTGCCGGGAAAATAAAAAGGCTGGAAAAGGTACCGATAAAAAGAGCTGGGCTGTAGAACAAGGAGGATGCTTGTGTGTGTTCTATACCCTGTGTGCGCAGCCAGGGCCAGCCTGTGGACAGGTCTAGTGAGGAATTGAGAAATGATCCCGTGCTTCTTTCCATCTCTTAATGAAAGAAGTTCCAGGTTAATGATTATAATAAAAGGGACAGGGTTCCTTTCCCTCCCGGGCTGTGCCCATTCATATAGGGACCATCCCCGCTCGGGGACAGCGGCAGCTCGGAGCAGGAACCCGTGGGGGCTCCTCTCGGGCTCGGCTCAAAGGACAAGGGCCTGGTTTAGGCTCGAGTTTGTCCGTGGCTTTCCCCCCACCTCCCTCTCTCTGAACGCATTTTCTTGTCTCTCATCCCCGTCGCCATGTTGCTGGGATTGCCAGGAATGAGCTAAAATCGGGACCAGCAGCCAGCCTCTGTTCCAGCTACCGCCTTTCTCTGTCCTTCGCTAACCCTGCGCGTTTCTTCCTATTTCCCCTGGAGCAGGGAGTTTTGTTTCGTGCCTCCGCGTGGTGCGTGGGAAAAATCCCTCTTTACCCAAGAGGCTCCTTTTTTTCTTCCCCTCTTTTCTTTTTTCCTTGCATTTTACCGTCAGCCAAAGCAGTTGGGAGTGGCGGGGTTGAGCTCCTTTCAGCACCCCGAACCGCACCTCAGCTCCACGTTGTCCCCTCAAAAGTGGGGAACCATCAGCCTCAGGGCAAAGCCGAGCCTCCCAAACCGCCGCTTTAACCCACCCGAGCAAGAAGCGATCGGAGACGCAACTATTCGCTTTCCCATCAGTAAATGGTGCCGGGGATGAGCACGCTGACGCCTGTTTCAATAACCGCGTTCACAGAAATGTAGGGAAATTCTGCCTTTAATCGAGCTGCGTTTTGTAAATGCTTTTTTTATGTGATTCCCCCTCCTTTTGCTAAGCTGCGCTCCAGCTTTGCATTTATTGTGTCTCTCAGGAGCCTTCACCACCCACACGGATGCTTCAGCTGACAAAAGTTTCCAGGCTTCTCCCTGCGCGAGTGGGGGCTGCGGGAGAAACGGGGCTGGAAAACCCGAGCCCCAGCAGCTTATCCCCCCTCCCTCCACAATTTTTACTTTCTAAACTTCCTAAATTCAAGCCTTTGAGTTAAATTTTGCCATCTTTCTTGGTCTAAATAAGCCCTCAGCAAAAGCCCAATCTCTTTGCTGAGTCAGTCAGGCCAAGCTGTCAAAAGTCTTTCGAGAAGAAAAGATTGATCGTTTCTCTCTTCTTTTGGGTTTGTGTGGAGCAGGGCACTTGAAAAGGGAGGGGAAATCTTCCGGGGAAACGACTTTTCGTTTTATTTCTTTATTTTGTAAACTCTGGAAGTGGAAGTGAGGAAAAAACGGGGAAAAAAAAGATGGGAAGGAAGAAATGCGATTTTAAAGATATCCATGCCCCTAAAATATGCTTGGCCTTTCAGGCAAGTGCAAAGGGTCCATTAAGTCTGCCTTTAGAAGCAGAAGGTTTGGGCTTTTCTTTATAAGTAATTTAACTCGGGAAATCAGGCCAGTCTAACTAGACTTGACTTGAAAGCTCCGTTGATTTCAGAAATGCTCATGTACAGACTCGCACAAATGTAGGCTTCAACTCTCCAAGCTCTGCGATATGCAGAGATACAGAGGTTTAGAGATACAGAGATAGAGATACAGAGACATAGAGATACAGAGATACAGATATATAGCAGTATAGCGGTACAGAGATATAGGAGTATAAAGGCAGGTAGCTAGCTAGGTAGATGAATATATAGAGATACAGATACATCTGTGATGGGCAGCCTGCTCATCCCTGCCCACGGGCAGGCACTGAGTGGGGCACCGGGCACCTCCCGGGGGTGTGAACTGTGGGGAGACCAGCGAGGGCAGCTGGAGCTGCCCGGAGCAGGCAGGGCAGGCAACACCAAGCAGGGCAGGCAGCACAGGCAGGGCAGGCAGCACAGTCGGGAGCGATGGCGGTGGCTGGGGTAGGGGGTAGAGGTTTTTCTGGGGATCTCTCTCCTTCCCCCCCCCCCCTTTTTAATCAATTAAAGAAAATAATGCTTTCTGTTTGCCACCAGGCCCCGCCTGCCATTGGCCAGGGCTGGCCACGTGACCAGGAATTGGCTGCAATTTCGTCCCAGTCTCGAGTTTAATAGAGCAAGGTCCCCATACGCCTGTATTATCAGCAATATAACAATTATAAAAAGCCCGAGAACCATCATCATCACTGCCATCAAAACTAAGGCCCTCCGATTTCTTTCCTTCTTCCCCTCCTCCTCCCTCTCCCCCCTCCCGCTTTTTAAACCCTGGGCCCTGGGAAAGCCATGAATTTTGAATTTGAGAGGGAGATCGGGTTTATAAATAGCCAGCCTTCGCTCGCAGAGTGCCTGACGTCTCTTCCCGCTGTCCTGGAGACATTTCAAACTTCATCAATCAAGGACTCGACATTAATTCCTCCTCCTTTTGAGCAAACCGTCCTCAGCCTGAATCCTTGTTCCAGCAGCCAAGCAAGACCGAGGAGCCAAAAAAGAACACCTCATGGCCTGCTTCAGCTCCAGCCTCAGCCTCCGGCACCGCCCGGCCTCTTGGCAGCCGAATTCCCCTGGATGAAGGAGAAGAAATCCTCCAAGAAAGCTACCCAGGCTCCATCCTCTTCTTCCCCCCCATCATCATCATCCTCGATGCCGGTCCCTGCCGCAGGATCTCCTGCAGGTTCGTATAATGAGGGGGTGAGGGGGAGCTACCGCGGCCCCTTTGCTTCGCTTTCCCTCCCAGCCCTGAATCCTTTTACAGCCTACGGGAAAGAAAAACACCCACAAACACAAACCAACAACAAAAACCAGAATAAAGAGCGGATGGGGGGGGGGGGGGAAGGAACAGGACGGGCAAGGCTGCATCAGCAGAATGGGGAGGAGGGAAGAGCGAGAGGCTCCGGTACTGTGGGGAGAGGCAGCTCCCATTGCGGAATAAACTAAATACACCCCAAATCCTTCCCCAGGCAACCGACAAAGCCGCAGCTTCCTCCCAGGGCGCCCCTTGGTCGGGTAGCCCGAGCCAGGGACCCTCTTCCCCCCGGGCCGCCGCCTCAGGGGCTCGGTAGCACCGGCCGGGTAGGAGAAGGGTGGGTACCGGCTGACCAGTAACACAGGAATAACGAAATCAAGGCCCCGCAAAGTCCTTTGCTGGCGAAAGGAATGGGAGGATAAAAATAAAGAATAAAGGGAAGTAGTGAGTGGCAATTCCCATTATCCGCCCAGGCGGCAGCGACGGAAGGTCCCTAAAGGGAGAGGCCAGGGAGAAAAATCCTTTCTTATCCTCGGGAAGGGGAGCGGAGAGCTGTTTCCAATCCTCTCCGACAGTGGGAAGAGTTTAATTCCACATTTCTTCCCCCCCTCCTATTAGAGAGGGGCTCGGCCCTGGCTGCCCTGGGGGGGGGCGGCCCCAGCTCCCCCCTGCCCCGCTCCCCCCTCGCAGCCTGCGGTTTTCTGTGTGTTTAAGACACCCAGGGGCCGGCAGAGCCCGGCGGCGCCCGGAGGCTCCGGACCGCGTACACCAACACGCAGCTGCTGGAGCTGGAGAAGGAATTTCACTTCAACAAATACCTCTGCAGGCCCCGGCGGGTGGAGATCGCGGCTCTGCTCGACCTCACCGAGCGGCAAGTCAAGGTCTGGTTCCAGAACCGCCGCATGAAGCACAAGAGGCAGACCCAGTACAAGGAAAGCCCCGACGCGGAGCTCACCTACCCCGCAGCGGACGAGGGCAGCGACCCCGCGGAAGAACCGGGGGGGAGCCCCGCGACCCCGGTGCCCCACGGCAGCACCAGGCCGGGGCTGGCGGAGCCCGGCAGCCCGCCGCAGGCAGGAGGGACCGGTGGCGCCGGCCCCGCGGCCCGTGGTCCTCCCGGGAGCCAGGGCTCGCCTTTGCTGCCAGAGCTGAGCATCCTCTCAGCAGAGTCTTGCCTCCAGCTCGCCGAAGGGCTTTCCCCCGGCCTTCACGGAGCCCTGGAGAGCCCCGTGCCCTTCTCCGAGGAAGACCTGGACTTTTTTACCAGCGCACTTTGTACGATCGATTTACAACATTTCAATTGCCAGTAGCGATTCCCCGCTCCCGGCCGGGCCGCCGTTTCTGCCCCTTCCAGGCGGCTGGAATCTCTTCAGCCCCAAGCAGCTCCCCTAGTTTCCTGTAAGGAGAGCAGCCACAACGACCCCCCCCCCAGTC